TTAATCATGTGTGAGTCAGATAGGAATCCAACTTGCTCCGCAGGAATAACAGGAGTGGGAAAAAGAAAAAAAAAAAAAAAAAACAACGTTTATTTTAGTCACAGCCGTAAACAAACCGTTCGGAGGAGCGGAGCCTGTCAGTCGCCCGAGGAGGTGCCCATGTCCCACCGCTTTCTGGGTTGCGGCTGGACAGCAGAAGGTATTTTGGGCTTTGCCTCTCTCCTGCTAGGCCTTAAGCCCCCAAATGACGGCCTTTTTAGTCTGCGTTAGGAAAATTTCATTCCTTAAATATTCTACCAATTAGTCTTTATAGTATGAAATTGTGTCGATTTTCTGAATAGTATGAAATTGTATTAACTTGCTTAAGATGCATACAGTTTACACCATACACTGCATAGTCATGCTTTGGTAAGCGTGAAAAGTTATGACCAGAGCGTTGGCAATCGCAGTCACGAGGAAAACTCATCTACACGATGTAGATAAGCAGGCACTTCTTTATTCCAGTGCTGGGGAACACGGGGGATGGCTCCACCAAAACATGCTCACCAACAGGTACAAAACACAAGATATCTATACACGTTTTCAACAGATTCATGGTTACGTAAGTTCTTTTACATAAAAATGCATAGAATGCTCGCTTCTTAATTTGACGTTTACAGTGATTGGTTTTACCAGCTACCTCACCTTACCCGTATTCCTATTCTAAAGTAACCATGGGTCAACCTTACTGATTGTAATTCTTGATATTCAAATCAAAGAGAGGAGGGTATATTGATAGAAGTGATTAGCATATTCATGTTATTTCCTGGAAATCATTATCATATTCAAATGTCTCTAGCGCATGCTTGGTTATGTCAGATGGGGGTCCTCTGGTGTTCATCGATAGTCTTCCTCACTGTGTCCGCTCATTGAACCCCATCCTTGCGCATGCTCATTTCACCCTTTGGCTTATCTCCCAAACCAAAACCAGTTTCTTCTTGTACCTATTGTTTTAATTCAGAGTCCATAACGATTTCCACGGTTTTTAAGGCAAACACAGTACATAAAGTATACCCTTTTGTTAGCGGTCACACAATCACAAATAAAACTTATTTACACAAAGCAGATAAGCAGGCACTTCTTTATTCCAGCACTGGGGAACACGGGGGATAACTCCACCAAAAAAACGTGTTCACCGACAGGTACAAAGCACAACATATTTATACACTTTTTCAGCAGACTCATGGTTACATAAGATCAACAAAATTCATAAAGTTTAGTTTGACCTTAATAATGATTGGCTTTCAGTTACCTCACCTTACCTATATTCCTATTCTACAGAAATCATTGGTCATCTTTACTGACTGATTTGAATAGAATGAGGGGAGGGTAATGATCAGCATATTCATGTTATTTCCTGGAAGTCATTATCATATGCAAATGTCCCTAACGCATGCGTGGTTATGTTGGACAGGGGTCCTCTGGTGCTCGTCGATAGTCTTCCTCACTGTGTCGGCTGATTGAACTCCATCCTTGCACATGATCAATTCATCTTTGGCCGATGCTCCTTTCTTCTTTGGCTGATCTTCCAAACCAAACCCAGTATCTTCTGGTACCTATTGTTTTGACTCAAGATCCATAATCAGTACCCATTGTTTTAATTCAGAGTCCATAATGATTCGTACAGTATTCAAGGCACACACCATGCTAGCTACCTATTCCTAAGGGCCTTAGTGGGCTTTATATTCTCACAGCTGCTATAACTCCATTTTAAAACCAAAATCATATTCTAAACTAAGATCAAAATAATATTCTAGGATTCAAGCTATTTTGTTAAGGGAACTGCAACACTTTCATTACTAGCCTAGTTACTTGTTCCTAGGGTCCTTAACATATCCTACACTCTCATGGCCACTGTAACTCTATATCACCCATATATCAAAATCAATATACCACCCAGAAATCAAAATCATATTCTAAGATTGAAATTATTTCATTAGTATAATAGTAACAAAAGGATCCAAGCTCATGTTGAGGAGAAGGACAGCCCCCACCGTGTGGGTAGGGACCCTTGTTTCTCAGAATCTCAAGGCCAGTCCCCAACACCTCTGTGAAACCCTCCCCTTATCTCGCATCATAAATAAATACCATGGCTTAACCCCGGCCGCAGCTAAACCCCATCCAGCCGCTCGCTCACTCCCCCTGGGTGGGATGGGGGAGAGAATCAGAAGGGGGATAGTGAGAAAACTCGTGGGTTGAGACAAAGACAGTTTAACAGGCAAAGCAAAAGCCACTCCCTCAAGCAAAGCCAAACAAGGAATATATTCACCCCTCCCCACGGTCAGGCAGGGGCTCAGCCGTCCCCAGGAGGGCCGGGCTCCGTCACACATAACGGTGACTTGGGCAGGGAAACGCCATCACTCCGAGTGTCCCCCGCTTTTTCCTTCTCCCCCCAGTTTTTATTGCTGAACACGATGTTATGTGGTGTGGGATGTCCCTCTGGTCAGTGGGGGTCAGCTGTCCCCGTTGTGTCCCCTCCTGACTCCTTGTGCACCCCCAGTCTCCTCGCTGGTGGGGGGGTGTCAGAAGCAGAAAAGGCCCTGACACCGTGCAAGCACTGCTCAGCAACAGCTAAAGCATCCCTGTGTTATCAGAGCTGTTTCCAGCACAAATCCAAACCATAGACCCCTGCTAGCTACTATGGAAAACAATAGCTCTATCCCAGTCAAAAGCAGCACAATAAGAAACTGTTCCAAGACTGACTCCAGGGATATCTACATCAGTAAAGAAACAGGTGGATGGCTGTAAAAATATAGTTGCTCTGCAAAACAGTGGTGTGTGTGTGCATAAAGCTGTTCTGTGACTTACCCATTTTGCATTGTTAATGTTTCTAATAGTGGTTCTCTGAGCGACGGTCACCGGTGCGACACTTGCACCACCCTCCTTGGCTCACACTTTCTATCCAGAAGCTGACCTCAGCGTCCTGTCACTAATTCATCATTTCCTTTCTTCACATTTTCACTTGGAATCAGGATAGGATTGAATCCCATTGCCATGTTATCAATGTCACCAAGGGACGTGATTCATAGCAGAGAGGACAGAAGTGGTGTGGCCAGTTCTGCTCTGCCGTACCAAGAACCAGCCACAGGATGAGCGATGACAATGTGGATTCATCGCTCGAGCCACCCCCCAGTGTTATTCTCTGGTTCCTGGGGCCCTGACAAGGAGCAGCAGCATTTTTGACTGATTGCTCCCGTCCCGCTCCCCCGGCCATGAGGCTCTCTGGGGGGAGGTCCCCAGCAGCCCTCCTTGCTTTCCTGCGGAAGGAGGGAGCAGGCAACTCCGTCCTGCCCCACCGCTTTTCCCCACGTGTCTTGGGATTGCTGCGTGCTGGCCCTTTACCTCCAGTTGTCCCTTCTGACGAGCAGCTCGGGGGGCAGGGGTGCAGGGGGGGTACTGCACACGGCCAGTCAGCCCCCCCATTTGCTGCTGCGCTTGTGTCGTGCCATGCCGGCGTGCTGGGACGGCTGTGGTCCTTTCCTCACCAACGCTCGGCAGGCACTGCTAGGAGAAGCTATCGTGAAGCGAGGCTACTGCTTTATTTAGCAACGCGATCGATAGGCTCTTGGCATGCAGCTTCTATCTTTTCCAAGACGTCTATCTGTGAGGGAACAAAATTACCTTGCTGCCCTTCAGACTGACCCAGTGTGTCATCTTTTTCCTTCCTCCCATGTACAGAATAGCTTGCCACCAGTGCCTGAGCACACCTGCACCGCTTCTCTCCTCGATGCCTATTTTAGCGGCCATGTTCTTTCACAAGTCTTCTCGTTCCAGAACACAGTTTATTTGTATGTCCATGTCCTGGGTTTGAACCATGACAGTCTGGCCATGGGATTACCCTGCTTATATTTGCTGTTTCCCCATCTGAGCATCAAAGCCACTTTGATAGGGCTCCCTTTTGCAACAACGGTAGGAATTCACCAAGCCACGGATCTTGGATGGTTAATGAAAATGTGGACTCGCCACTTCAGCCACCCCAAAGTAGTAATACTTTGCAGGAAAGAATGATAGCCTAAGAGGCAGCAAGAAACAGAGGGAAAAAAATAACGTGAAATTATTAATGATCTATACTTAGGAAGCTCATGCTTCGCACTGAAACTGTCGGTAGTATGCCTACCTCAGCAAACGTGACATAGGAGACTCCTGACAAGAAGTTCCAGTGGAACAGGTGCCCCATGACGTGGTCGTGTGGTTCATGGCTTCTTGTTGGATGAATTATGAGCGACTGACTGCGACAGTCACGAAGAAGAATGGCTTTTTTCATAAAGGATCTGACAGCCAACTGAAACACCAAAGTTGATTTAGAATTCTTATTAGAAGAAAAGCGGTAGCTACTGCGTAGGATTGAAATGTTGCCTACCACAGGAAATGAAGGATCTTCACCACCACCACCCAAAATTAGCCACTATGTGCCGGGTTGTTAGAGGTGCTCCCCATTAGCAGTATTATTTTCCCGTCAAAAGCATGCTTCCACTTAGGAGTGGCCTCACCACGCTCTCTCAAGCAACATGCAGAAGTCCACCCACTTTCCAAGGGGAGAATTACAGGTGCTTACTCCACCGAGTCACGATTACAAACTTCAAAGTTGACATGGGGTTTCCTTTCAGTTTGTAGCCTAATTCTCAACTTCTTCCCGAGGCCCAGCCTTCCCAGGGTTTTCCCTGGGGGAGAATTTTACTTGACCTTTCAAGGGGAAAGGAGGAGATGAAGCAACTTTGAAATGACATCATTTACATATTTGGAGGGCATTTTTAATTCCTCTGATACTTTTCTATTCCAAGGTAGTTTTGAAGTGTTAAAGTCCAGTTTGTTTTGATGATCTTGTGGAGGAAATCTGTCTTTTATTCTTTTGGAGTAAGTTAATTAGGATATAATCAGTGCACAGGAACACACACACGTACCACACTAAAATGTTACTGAAGTTGTAAAGTCAAAGACTCAAAAAATAGGATACAGCATAATTAAGGCTATGTATGCTTATTTAATGTCTCCTTCATCCATTAACCTGATGTGATTTTAATTAATTACATACTGTTTTCTCTACAGAATGCATGACACAGGAAAGAAAATACTCAGGCATCCAAACAGTAATGTATTCTCCCTGGCCACTGTGCAGTCCCCTGCACCTTTTAATTTGTATTAGTCATACCTTGCTACAGTAGCAGAATTATAAATTTCCTCATGTGCTTTTCTATAGAATTCAGGGTACAGCATTGGAATATTTCACAAATACGCACACGTTTACATTTTCAACAAGTGCATGAGTCAAAAGGACTAATAGTATACCCTTTAACAGCTGGGAAGTTGAGGTACAGGTAAATTAAGTCCAGAGCAGCCACTGACTCAGGGACTTGAGTTAGTAGATGAAAATTCAGAGCATGATTTTTCAGATAAACAGATTATTTCAGAAGTACAGCTTCCCTTGGTTGAGCTGCAACTGGATGAAGGTGCTGAGACATTGGTCTGAGTTTGGGCCTCAGCTTGAGCACTCTGCAAGCGAGAGCTACACAGTTAGCGATCCCCCTCCCGAGGCATGATGTAAAAGCATTACACTTTGTCACAAAGAAAACCCACGGCAGAGCACAGAACATAGTCCTTCCACCCAGCACTCAACTGCTGTTCTCCTTCCCTAATCACTGCCTCATTTACTACAAGCTTTCATGATTCCAAAAGAAAAGGTCACTGTATGATTATTACTACTAAAGTCTTTGTCAGCTTAATGAACTTGCCCCAGATGAAATGGCAGGGTTTTTTTTTCAGAAGTATAGTTTTTATTAGAAAGTTTCTGGGTAGTTCCAGTGATGAAAAATGTGCTAGCTAAAATCTATTTATGTTAAATATAACAAAGACTATTTTTTCCCCCAGAAGACGTGTAATACATTAATCCAGCTGTTGTGAATTGCAGGAGCTAGGACTATTTCTGGAGATTTTAATGCTTCCTTGTAACGTCCTAGGCAGGGAGAAGGATCTTGTCTTTTCAGCATGACATACATGTATCATGTACAAAAGGTATTATTCTTAACTACATTCTGCACGGGCTGACTAGAAGATTAAACAGCTTAATAATTGTCCAACAAATCATTAGCACATCCTATGATGCAAAAGGAGACAATTAAAGTGTACTACTAGATTCCCTTCCACTAGATGCCACGTGGAGTGAGTGGCTCTTCGCTCCGAGATAAACGCTGTTAAGAAAATCCCCTTCCTTAACTATTGTATCAGTCAGTCCTTATAGTATGAAAGTACATTAACTTGGTTAATATATGTATTAGTTCACATTATAGACTGCAATGTAATGAGGTAGTGAAATTTTACTGAAGACTGGTATTGTTTGCACTTAAGTAAAACAAATTGAAGGACAGCCCAGCCCTAGAAATAGGGACTTTTCTTCTTGGAAGCTTAGAGCTGTCCATGAAGGATAAAGAATACTCCAGGGTGACAAAGATACCACCAGCATCCTACCCCCTCTAACACGTATTTGAAACACTCCCAGTGTCATCTGGCCTCCTAGATAAGTAACTCTAGCAAGAATGACTACAGGGACGTCTGGACCAATAGACAAGCAGCAAGAACATGGCAAAAAATAACAGTTGCTTTGCAAAGTTTTACTATGATTAGTAATTGGCAGCATGGATGTTAGTGATTAGTCAAATCATATTGCACCTGAACATTTGAAGGGTGTAAGAACCCTGTGTAGAACCCCATTCAGGGTGCCCCAATTTAGCTGGGACACCTCATGCACAGGAGTAAATATTTACTCTTGTAATTCTCTACGTTGCGTCAAAGCCTCTCTCCTAAGTCAGCCCAGGCCAGTTGCGAATTTTCATGACAGCACCTATTTCCTCATCAGAGGGTTACAGAGAGGGCAACACCAGCAGTAGCACCGGGTGGGCTGGGCAGCGGCTGCCGTCCCAGCACACGCAGCTGTGGACGTGGTTTGCTCATCTGGAGAAGTTCTCTGTCCACATCAGTTGCTTTGCTATTTCCTAGCCCAGAGTCAGGGAATTTTTCAGTCTCATTTGGTAAGCATCAGCTTGGATTTTCAGAGTATTGCCAATACTTTCCATTGTGCTGGTTCGCATGCCTGAAGAAATACCAAGACCTCTGTTTCTCTCTGTTGCTGATCAGAGCTTTTGGCAGGCACAGGGTTGGAGTGGGGTGTCCTCTTGTTGGGCACTGGTCTCCATCTGCCTCAGGATACCTGGCATCACTTTGCCCATGGAGTGGGAAGGGGTTTTGCAAACAAATCTGTCATGAAAATGGGTCAAGTTACACCTCTGCTGTAATCCCCGTGTTTGAACTGCAGCTTAGCAAAGCCCCACTCACACTCCTCTAGACTTCTGCACATGCTTAAGTGCAGCAGCACCTGGACCAAGCTGAAAACTAACAGCCCAAGCATTTACCCCAAGTGCTGTTGCCCAGGCTCATGTTGTGCCAAGGCATCCTGAAGTTCAGTGAGATGACACACACACCACAGCAACAGACCCTTCTGGCATCTGGTGTTGAGCTTATTTTAAAAAGCACAATAGCACACTGCAGTTGGTGACATCCCAGACCCCTTCTGGTGCCAGCCACCGACGTGGGTGGTTGTCCAGCCGGATGGTGGGCACAGCATCTCCGTGGGTACAGGAGACATTTATTGGCATCCAGGGACCTCGCCTGTTTCTGCAGCTCTGCACAAACATTTTTCAGGGAGATGGGCTGCCTTGGAAGTATGGATGGGGATCAGCATTTCTCAAGGTATGCTCTCTCCCAGTCCTCCTAGGACATCATTATCTTTCCAGATGTTTTATCTCACTCTTGTCATGCTTGACTTTTGCGTACATAAAATCTTACATCTCTCTTCTCACATGGCATTTTAACACTGAGAGACATCTTGTTTTCCAACTACTACCATTAGTGGAAAAAGGCCCCACTGAAATGAAGCACTTCACCTCATTTCATAAGGGGTTCCCCTGTAGTTTTACAATGCCGGCATGACACTGCACACCAGCAAGCCCTCTCTGAGACTGTGCTCTGGAACAGATTTTCTAGGAGCCTGGAGAAGGACACCCTGGTGTTGTGCTTGAGCATCCTATCTGTGGTCATGGCTTCCCACAGTTCGTGTGCTGAGGCCCAGGTACTACCCTCATTAATAGCACAGTGGGGGCTTTAATTTCAGGAGTGCTGCCTGGGACTCATCAAAGGCAAAGCTGGACTTCAAGCATTAATTTCTTCCCTCACTTTAAAATTCTTGGTCAGCTGCAATCCAGCATGAGAAAGTCGAATAGCATCAGACGCATGCATGAGATACTGTTTTGCCTGCAAAAAACTCTCTTGTCCTGTTTTGATTGCTTCTTTACTGTGAGTCAGCCTATGACACATTTTCACAAAACTCCCAGACGTTATGCTTACAAAATTAAATGTTGCTCAGATGGGAAAAACATTGTGAAGAGTTGACAGTGTTAAGGTAGAAAAGAGATCGCGTTCCTACAGGTGGAGAGCACTGCAACGTCTTGTTCCCCCTAGAAACTAGCGACCGCTGTCTTCATGCCCCTCTCCCCCGCCCCCCCCAGGAATACTCTGGAAGTCCGTGCTGCAGCAATCCAGTTTCAATTATAAAGTGATTCCTAGTAAGGTGTTCAGCATGTGCCCCTCACAGAGAATCCATCACATTGAGCATCATTGCTATCATCAGCTCAAACATTAGAAACCTCCCAATGACACCGCTGGCCCTAAAAGTCTAGCAGCCTACAAAACATAGGCAGGTTGGAAGATAAAATTTGGACAACATAGAAAAATAATAATAATAATATATCTGTTGTTCTTTGCCAGTCAAGAGCAGACAAGACAAGGCAAGTTTCCACCTCCTAAACAATGAATGTTTGTCCTTTTCTTTTTTTACTTTGGCAGAGGCAAGTATTGGAAGAAGAGTGTAGTGGCTTTTCATATTTTGGTCAAACACTGATATTTGGGTTGCCATAGCAGAGCAGGCTGCTTCAGCGGAAAGGTCAGTCATCCTTTTCTGCAGGGTGTGGCCAAGGGGATGAATTTCATCAGCCTGTCCAAATCAGGGCATCGCTATTTCTGAGTCAGAGCCTTCAGCTTTTCCACTCAGCGGGCCATGCCGTGGAAACATGTGCTCAGGGAAGATCACTAAATGGTCACTGGGGGACTTGGAGAGGGAGCCGGCTCCAAGCATCTCAGCCAAGAAAGCAAACTAGATGTTTGCTGCCCCAGGAATGAAAACCCATGTGCTGGGACCCTCCTGCAGTGCAAGGAGGATGCCAAGCCAAGATGAAGAGTGAGGTTACATGGTGGGAGTCATCAGGGATGACAGCCCTGGGATGGTGTCACCCAGCCAGGAGGTGTGGTTGCATACATCTCCCCATTCTCAGCTGCCAGGACCACCAGCCTTCATTGCCAGGGATTGAGGAGGGCAGCAGCACCACGGCCACCTTCCCCACCGGAGAGATGGCCTTCACCACGGGAGCGTCCATTACCTCCGAAGCCAAAAAGCCAGGCAAGCAGGGCTCAGCAAAGGTATGAAGGAGTCTGAGGGAGATTTATGCTTACACAGAAGAGGTGACGCAGTAAGAGGACCTGAAGGAGGAATAAGAGAGTAACGAGGAGGCTTGAACAACTGATTAGTGAATGGGCACCATCAGAAAAGAGACCAGAGGTAGAGAGCAGCCGTTTCAGTCATATTGGGAACAGAATGGCTGAGATAGGGAAAATAACACAGGACTGTGAAGAGACAGGAGATTTCATCTGGAAAACACAGTGCAGGCAAGAAGAGAAATATTCAGACAGAGCCAGAACATTAGGGCTGAACCATAGGAAACCGAGATTACAGGTCTGAGTAACAAGAAGTACAGCGATACAGATGGTTGTGATCAAGTGTGAAAAGATCCAGCCTTTTGGCCATGGCTAGGTACCCACCAAGGGCCGTTAGGAGGACGCATCATGACTTATTTTAGAAGCAGGGAGAAAGAAGAGAAAAGTTGAAGCTGTGTTTGGGGCTGACATCGCTCAGAGGGGCACCGGAGAGGAAAGCTCTGAGGGACTGCATCCTTCTGCCCCAGAATGGAAGGGATTAGAACCTGAAAGAAAGGAGAAATAGGAGGCAACAGTCACAAGGCATCCAAGGATGCCTGATGTAACTGCAAAACACATTGGATAGGGGACAAAAACAGACTTGGAGGGGACCTAAAGTAGAATTAGAGGAAAATAAGTCAGTGGCTCTGCATGGCACTTTAATGGTGTTTGGAGGTGAAGGGGCAGGCTCTGTTGTGTGATGGCTCCAAGAAGTGACATTTTCCAAGTAGGCTGGTGAGAAGCTGAGTGGAAGAACAAGGTAAAGGGTAAGAGATGGCAGGAGGTGAGAGGCTGCAATCTTTGGGGAAGGAGAGGCTGAAGATGGCAAGCAGTATTAAGCTTCCATGGCAGCAGTGCCATCTGGGGATGAAACACAACAAGATCTTTCAAACAGCTGGGATGTCTTCTCAAATGTCTTTTAGCTTTGAAGAAATGAGCAAGATTCTGAGTGGAGAGGATTTTGAGCAAAAAATACTGAATTCAGCCACAGGACAGAAAGTTGGAAGAATAGACGATGGGGAGGAAAATACAAAATGCTTGCATTTTTTTTTTTTTAAAAAAAAAACCTTTGTCCACCGGTTTCATGCATTAATTACTGAAGAAAACCAAAATCACTTTAGGGAGTTGGCAGATGAAGATAAGGTTATGTGCATGTAGGCTGGCTCAGATGCATTTAGGATAATACTTTATGCTGCTTTATTCAACATCTTTATCCAGATTCATTGGATGTTATCCAGCCATGAACTGATCAATTTTAAGACTGATTCAGATTTTAAGGAAGCCAATGGTAAAACCTCAAAGGATTAGATCAGCCTCTTTAATGAAACATCTGAAAGCAACTCTATCAAAAGGACCACACAAGCAATATGTAGGTATTAGCTCTGTCATAAACAAATGGATGGATATTTTGTGAATCACTCTGTTCGGGAGAGAAAGAAGAGCGCTGGAAAGTGAATACCTGTGTAATAATCACCATCTCCCCAATTAAAACTAATTATTTGTAAAGAAGTAAGATGAGAAGGGAAAAACACTTATGTCATTAATTGCAATTGCAGTGTGTTAGCTAATATACAAGTAAACCTTTTGGAAATGGAAAGAGTACAAAAATAGGTGTAGGGAGTTTGTAGCCAATCTGATTCCAAATATTTTTTAATGAATGCAGCAGTGATTAGAATGAGTAAAACCACATTAAGAATGTCTTCCATCAAGATATTTAGAACGAGATCTCTTAAAGTCATTAAGGTTTCCAGTGAAATCTACTCTTAAGAGCTAGCAGGGTCATGGAGAACCAGGTACAGATTTCAAATGTGTGTGAAGCTCATACATAAAGCTCACTCATGCAACCACATGAGTAAAAAATTTGTAGTTTTTCAGTCACAGAAATACACAGTACTTTTTAGAGCTACAAGGAGATGTATTTTAAATGGTCATCCCTATAAAGTCCTGATATGGAATGGCCACAGCTGACCGCTAAAGCTGACCATTAATTTACATGCCATCACATGAATAAGCCTTTTTCTAGCCTACCCTCAAGCAACCTGCGCACAATACATAGTCTACCTTTACTCTCCCTGCATACATACACACATCTATTTTCTGGTTTTATTAAACTAGTAATCAGCAGACTCCACACCACTCTAATCCCTTCTAGCAGGCTCTTCTCTCCAGACTGCTTGGCTCAGATCCTCTATAAACATTATTTAGACGGTGTCTTTCAACTTCCTTATTTTTTCTAGGTGGGGCAGCAAGCCCAACCCTTCAGTAGAGTCAGCAGATTTCACATACCATGGAGTCAATGTCAGCCAACCAGGTAGAGTAATGCAGGCAGGTGTCACTGATGACTTACAACTACATTCAAGACTAATTAGTTCCAAGGTGTGCCGTATCTCACTAGGCCGTCAACTGGCTCACTTCAGACTGAAATTCAATCTGGTCTCTAAGAAAAAGACTCACAGTGTATGGAAACCTAATCCTCACATCTCTGGTTTGTAATGTCAAAGAGAACAAACAATAGTGTGGTTAAGTGTGAATAAATGCAAGCGATTTACAGAAAGATATAGACCACCACCCCACCGCTGCAAAATTAAATGTCTTGATACCATGCCAGTGGTTTAGATTTATACCATAAGGGAATAATGCTTCTCTTTTATTTCAGGCTTGGTCAGTCCAATTCGATTCTTAAAGCAAATTTCTGGAAACAGGGATTGAGAAACAAAGTGCAATTTTTTTTTACAATTATACCTTTCCATTTCTCTTGAGCTCACGTATCATGGGACTGACACCTGAGGTCAACAAAGCTGAAAAGCTGACAAGTGCTTTTGCAGTGCATGCCAGGAACAGAACCTTATTCCATGCAGGGTTACAGGAGCGGTGACGTACGTGAGAATATTAGGAAAGGCAGAAACCCCATTGCTACAAGTCAGTCCCAGTTCTTCCCACCTGTAATGACTGTTATAGTAAGGTGCAGGATCCTCCACCGGCATCTATGCCAGAACAGACATCACATCTAATCTTCTGGCTGTAGTGAACCGAAGCATCCCAAGTTTCAACAGATGTAACTGGAAGAAAGTTTAGACTAGAAATAAATAATAAATATTTAACTGTGATGATAATGGAAGGTAATTACCTGTGAAGGTAATTTAAACAAAGACATTTTACTAAGGACCGTGATGACTTCTCCACTAATGGACCTTTACAAATTCAGGTCAGATTCCTTCCTCCTCCCCTTTCCTAAACGTGTACCCATGGCCAAAATACAGTCAATTCAGGAGTATTGTTTAATGGCTGTGTAATGCAGAAAGTCAGAAGAGATGATTATGGAGTCTTTGTATAACCTATGAATCGGTCTAGGATGCAGATCCCTAACAACTTTTTTCTAGCCTCTCTGCACTTGTTTCTGGTTGGAAAGTTTCTATTGGAGTTGTTTTCCCATGTTTGGGTGAAGTTTCACTCGGGGCTTGCACAGCAGCATTAATATTGCCCTGTCTTCACCAGAAATCCCTGAGTACATGCCTAAATAACAAATGCTAGGCACAGGAGTGGTGACAACACTTGACTCACTGCCAGAAGATCTGCGTAAAAGCATTCACAGCAGGGCAGCTTAAGGGTATTCTGATTTAATTTAGAACTCAAACATAGTTTTTCTTAATTAACAAAAAATACTCTCTTTGTTTCCAGAGTCTGACCCTGGCCCCACTCCCAACCCATAAAATGACCAAAAAAGCCCCCATGATAGGCCAAATAAGCAATAATGATGGAAGCTAACCATTACCCGTTTACAAGGATTTTCTCCATGCACATTTCATTACCTTCACACAAATACCTTATGGCTTCTGCAGCTGTAAAAGGATTATTAGCAGAGTGGTTTGCATTCCTACCACACACTGAACACCCCAGTTGCTATGTGGGTGTCAAGCTTCAATCAAGGCAATGCGTAGCAGCCATTGAACACTTACTGTATGTCTCTGAAAGGCACAGCACACGCACAGTGCTGTCCAGATGTGCCAGAGGTATTGTCCTCCAGTAAAACTGGGTCCATAGCAATGGTGCTCCAGGTTAAAAACCTGCCAGTGAGTCAACAGCATGAGCTGTCAAGCCAGAGGAACTTCCTGACAAGTGAAATTGCTGTTTGTGTTTTGGCCAGCATGTCACACCCAGTATATGTTACTTGGAAAACAGCGTGTGAGCAGGAGATCACATTGCCTGGGTATGAAGGTGCTGGTGGAAAACAAGGTAAGGAGGTCAAGAGTACAGCCAAGCAAGTGTTGCTTCATTTATGTCTCAGAGGGGATTTTGAGTGCGAGGAATTCTACAAGGGGCCTTGCTTGCATGCCATGGGGGCTGGAGAGAGTAGTGTTAATCAGGTGGAGATAAAAGGCTAGCAGCACATTGGATCATGTAAGTGTCCCTTTCTAGGCTACTTGAAGTGAATGGCATTGGGCCAGCATTTCACCTCCTGCATAGGTCACTTCATGGAACTACAACAGGCATGTTCCATGGGCTCCTCCTACTCCATGTAGCTTCTGTTTTCAAGAGAAAAAGGAAAGAAAGATAAAGGTAAGATGTAAGTTGAGCAGAACTATGCTCACTGTCTACCCAGACCATAACAGGCAAATGTGGGTCGGAAAGGATCTCTGGAGATCATCTCTTCCAAACCCTGCCCAACACAGGGCCAGAATCAGTTAAATGAAGGCACTCACTTGAGAAGGTTGCTGTGTACAACTGAGTTTCACGGACCTCCAAGGATGGTGATTCCTCAGCAGCCCTGGACTCCTGCTCCAGCCCTGGCCCACTCTGGCTGTAAAGAGCCTCTTTTCTTATATCCAGAGAGAGTTTGCTAAAACTTGTGACCACTGCCTGTCAACCTTGCAGCTCCAAGAATATTCCGTCTTTTCTATAGCCAGCCACCCACTAGGTAATTGAAGAACATAGTCTATACAGCATATAAAAGGGTTAGGAGGAGGTAAGTTTATATACTATGTGCTCCCCAGCAGGTTGGTCCCTAGCCAGTGCTGATGCCTGGGATTGTTCTGCACCAGGTGCACTTCTTGTTGAGCTTCATGAGGTTTCCACTGGCCCAACCCTCAGGTTTTTCAATGCTACTCTACCATCAAGCATAGCCTTCTCCTGCCCAGCACACAATTTAATGTCATCCACAAAATGGCTGAAGGTACACTCTGGCTCATCATCCAAGATCAGTGATGAACATATTGAATGATACTGACCCCTTCTATTGACCTCGGGACACGCCGTTTGCTACACTGTGCCACCGGGACATCGAGCCATTGCTTATTACCTTTAAGTCCAGCAGTTCAGCCAACTTCTAATCCATCTTCCCATTCCTTCACCCAGCCTGCATTTCTTCAGCTTTTAAATGAGAGTCCTGTGGGCAACCACATCAAAAGACATTTTAGAGGCAAGATAAACAATACCCGCTGCTGTCCCCTTGTCTCCAGAGCTACTGTTCCTGCACAGAAGGTGCCCAGGCTGACCAGGTGACACAGGATGGTGTAGGCTTTGGCCTGCGTGAGGCCTTAGACCTTGACATTACTGTTGCTAAAACTTTTCTGTGACTGTGACTCAACACAGGTTGAAGGTTACGCCGAGCTGGATAGCTAGCTTGCTGTTACCTTCTAGAGGACAGAAGGCAGCACAGTCATGCAACCCTCCTGTTAGGTCAAACCACAAACTATATAACCCTCCTGTGATATCAAGAATGCAAGAGCTGGGGAGCTAGTTCAGTGTTACGGTCTAGGGGACAAATAAACCACAATTCCATATATGGAATTGACTTCAACCACAACTGTATAATCCCCATGAGCAAAAAACCCACAGCTGTACAAATGTATATAGAAGTGATGATTATCAGATCTCTCTGTACATAAGAGTGATGATTACCAGATCTCTCCTCAAAGAGCATAAAAATCAGGTACAAAGACCTCAAAATTGTCAGGTGCTTCAGCGACACTTTCTGTGCAGAAGCTTCCACCTTACCATCTGTCCTGGCACCTCCCCTCTTGCTTGCTGTAAGGATTGTATGGAACCCCATACTCTTGCATTGCTGCTAACTGTTTTACAAATCTTTCTAAACTTCCCTGCCTTCACTCATAATAAATGTTAGTGTTAAACCTTAATCTTTGTCTATCTTTATGTGTGTATCTGTAACTGGGACTGGCACAAGGGGAGGGCAAGATGTGGGTGAGCTTTCTTGGTAGAGCTCACCACAGACTCCCGTTGTCACCCATACGCGACGCAGTTACGGTAACCCCGCTGTGTGTTTCCATGTATGATCAGCTGGCAAGCCGGGTGCTTTTAAGGCACTGTCCTATGGCACCAGGCATGAATAGCCTGCGGTGCAGCCATGCTGACTGATCCCAATGGCCACCTGGTACTGCTTGAGACTGAAAATGGAGTCCCAGGACATGTGTCGTGCAATTCTTGCTGCTCAAGGGATGCAGGAGAGGCTGCCTGCCTTGCTGCTCCCTAGACCCTCACTCACTAGTGTTAGCCTTTTTCTCCATCATCAAGGAGGTCTCCATAATTTTCTGATGATCAGCAGCAGTCTTGTACTCACATCACCCTCTGGACACAAGCATTTGTGGGGAAAACTTATGCAGTGTATGAAGACTTGTGCAGCGCATTAATACATGTACCATAACAACAGAATCACAAAAATTCTTCTTGGAAGTAAGATTGAGATGAATGGATTTCTGAACTGTGGCACACGCTCTTCACGTATTCACCACCAGAGTGAACTAGTGTGACTGTCCCTTAAGAAGCCCACTGAGCCCATTTATGTACATCCTTATCTATACCAACACTCTTCTCCCCAAAACCAACCTTGAGTGTCAAGGCTGCAAAGTCACGGTCAAAAGTTCAGTAGCACTAAAGCTGGAGTGGTCTTAACAGGCGTGCATTTACAGAGAGAGATTCTAGGGCTTTATTCATCCTGACAAGTGATGGGGCCCAACAGGAGCCAATCTACAGAGCCAAGGGCACTGAGAAATCTACATCCGCACTTGAGAGGTTTCCCTTCAGGAGGGCACATCAGGTGCTCATGTTCAATGGAAGACCCCAGTTCTTGTGCCCCAGGAGCAAGGCATTTGAACCACAGAATCAAAGGAGCGGCCAGTCTTGACCTTCATTTCACAGGCATGCTCCTGTCCCACACTAAAGCTTCTATCAAGACACTCACTGGACAGTCCATGATTTCATAGCCTCACAGCCAGCATTAACACCAGTCACCCTGGCCTCTAGGGAAATGTGCCTGCTAGTCCCAGCTCCCTAACTTATTCCCCCTCACATCTAGGCATCATGCCTGGTTCTCCTCCTTTCTTTATGGCCAGGCAGCATTTCCATGCTTTGTTTTGTCCTTCAGGTCATGTTTATATGACACTGCCCAGAGCAGGACTGAGAAAACCCCCATCTTCTCTATTCCCGTAGTGTTTTCCAGTCAGTAATTACTTTCCCAGAATTCCTGTGAAGTGAATGAACATGTATTAACCCTCTTTTATAAGTGGAGATCTGGTATACAGAAAGCCTAAGGAAAAAATACTGATCCATTTTGGAGTGTCAGCTGAGGTACCTAAAATCTGATTTAATATCCTATTCAGACTACAGCCTTGACTGACTTCAGTTGCAGCTGTGGACAAAGAGGGCTCGTGCAAGTCATATCCCAAGGCTCGTGGTTAGAGAATGAGGAACCTGTAACCAGTGACATCACTTGTGAGAAGTCAGGGTTAGATGACATAACTAGCATCATCCAAAACTTTTGTAGCAACCTCTGGCAGACTGTAAGATTATCTTTTTTCTTCATGCAGTTCTCCCCTCTCTCAGTACCCACCTTCTACCTTCTGCAAGAGATAACAAAGCAGAACCACAGGCATCTTACTCTTCTTCAAGACGCTGCTGAAGCCAGGACACCCCATCTCTCCAGTACAACAAATGAGACATGAATTCTGTGAAAAAATAGCATGTGACAATGTAACGAGAATAACTCCTACGCTAAGAAGTGTGGGTGAGAGGGCAGGGGGGAAGCCCCTAATTTTGTCATTTCCCAGCCTCTTGTACCAGCTGTTGCAAACTCAACACTTCCTGAATGTAAATTTCTAAACATAGGCAAAAAAAAAAAAAAAAAAAAAAAAATATCCTTCACAGGCTCTTTGTGCAAGTCTCCTTGTACAGTCAATCAGTCAATCCCTTGCTTTTCCTCCATCTCCCACCCTATTGGATTTCAGCCCTACTACTCTTCCCCTGCAAGCTTCCCTGAAATGTTCAGTGTCGCCTATATCCCAGATTCTCCTCAAATTATCCTCACCATTAGGCTCATCAGGCAAGTCTAGCACCTGAGGCTGCGGCAGGCTGTTGCAGTGAGGAGCAGCGATTGATAGAGCCCTCTTCAACATTTGCAGGTTGGAACAGGTCATACTCTCTATGAAGAATTTAGCCACAAAATCTAGAGCTTTTCCCAGTTTGTGTGGCCTGAATTTTTCAAAGATTTGTCATTTCCCCAGGAGTTTTATCATACAAACAGCAAAAGGCACATTTCAAACCACAGAGTGACTTCACCTTCTCCCTGAGTTTTAAGTCCTTCATCCATTGCAAGAGATCAGCGTAGCACACCAAGATTTTTTTCCCCATCAAGCGCACAACCTAAGTAATTTTCCTAAGCGGTATTCCCAGAAATAGCATAACCATTTCAGCTCTTAGAAACAGTCAGCAAAATTATAAATAATCAGAGCCAGAGGTTTATAAAGAAAGCATTTAGGAAACCTAATTGCAGCTGGCACTAACAGCTCTGTATCCAGTAAAAGAAACTACCTCAGCCAAATGCCCTAAACCACTTGTAAGCTCCTCCAAGTTGAAGATGAGGTGCTCTAGGATCCAGTCACACTTGCAGAACTCACCTCAAGTAACACTGGTGTTAAAGAAAAACTCAAGTAACCCCATGAAACCCCAGGTTCCCTGACTCTCACCCATGCCTGCCCTCTCAGGTAGGGCAAAGACTACACTAAATGTTCCTATGCCTTTAGCTTAAGTAAAGTGCCTAACAGACTCAATATATTTCAGAATAATACATTACAAAGAAAGCTCTCAACTACATGTTAAAGTTTCAGATGGCTAATTAAAGTATCGCTCACAGTCAGGAGCGTTAGGCTGCACTGACTGCAAACATATACACCTCTGATCTTTGCGCATCTGGGCGAAATTAAAATAACGCATCAAATTAAGCTCCTGACAGTATTCAGTGTAAACTGCATTAGCCGTAAGCACTGGCAGCCTACATGCTAAGTTCACTCTGCATGATTGAATCCAGAGGTTACAATTGTCTTTTAAAGGTATGTGCTGATAATAAAGCCATTACTATTTTATTCCTGCAGTATCTCCTACAGGAACTTTTCACTTCATTTAAACATGTTACCAATATCTTCAGTACTCCCAGCCTTAGAGGAAAAGTTTTGTTCACAGGGTGCAATCATCAATAAAGCTTATTTGGTGTGTTGTCCCCCCAGCAATGGCTTCTTCACATCTGATGATGGCAGTTCCCCTCTGCAGAAAGTGCTCATTATTCTCCCCTTCAGGGATGGGGAAGAAGAGGTGGATTGAAGCCTTGTGATTAATTTTCAGGAGGCGATGTGTGTTTGAGCCAGATCGGCAAACCTTGCCATGGCAGCTGTCCCGAGCAATGACACCACACAGACATCTGTGTGCACTGTGCCACGCTGATACTTGAGTCAGTCTGGCCAGTTAGTCTGTCAGTCTGGCCAGTAAGAGATCGGATATCAGAATTTGAAGCAGGAGTCTAGTTTCAGCATGCTGCCCAACCTCTACTTTGTATTAGGAAGTGAGAGGGGCCAGGGACCCCAAAAAACTTTAAATGAAGAAATTACTCCATGATACTCTTTACCTTCCCCTCTTGTTTCCTACCAAATCACGTCTGTTTGTGTCAGACACCCAACTCAAACATGGACAGAGGGAAGCACTGTAAGCTTTCTGCTAAAGAAACAAAGTCAGGGAATTAACTCTGCAATCCTGGCTCCTTACAGAATTTGACATTTCTTCCATTACCTCCAAATATGATTAACGTGCACTGAAGAAGATAATGAGGCAGGAGATGGCAACAGCTCCCCAGCTAGAGCCCATCTCTGGGCAGACAAGACTGGGCTGGATGTACATGGCCATGTGAGATTGGCCTCACCTGCCTCTGCTGATCCTTCTCCCCCCGTTGGATCACCCAGCACTCACCCAGCAGCCCTGCTCCGCTGTCCTCGCAGCCACAGCTCACGGATCTGAGAGAAGAGATGGGACCCCAAGGATCAGTTGGGACATGAAGTCCAGGCTTCTGCTGCTTTAACAGACAGCGGCATAGCAGCCTAGTATTATTTTGCTTCCTTTATACACACCGAAATGACTTCAGAGCCTCAAGGTTGGAAACCGCTTCCCAGTTTCTAGCCTCAGCTGGCTCCTGGCCAACTCAGACTGGTTTGTGTTTGTGACAGCATCATCTTCTGGCTCCCCTCCTTCTCTGGATGTGAGCTTCTCCCGCTCCTTCACTTCTCTCAGTACAGGTTCAGACAGCAGATACATCCCTTCTCCTTTCTCGGGTTAAACAAGATCTGCTCGCTGCCTGGGCGGTGGGCTCTTAGTTTCTCTCAAGCGCCAGCAGCCCCTCTCTGCATCTTTTATAGGTCCCCCCAGTCACAACTGATGAGAACTGGAAATGGGGTCAAGGTGAGGCCTCTCCACAGTCTTAGTCACCATATTCATATTGGCCATTATTGGAAATATTTAGCTGGATGCATGCAGAATCAGGTGGTAGCTTTCTCACAGCCATGTTATGTTGCTGGTTTATAGTTCTTCATTAAAGCCTTCACATTGTCCTTCTGGTCTACCTACAGTCCAAGTACATACTTTCCAAAGCAAAGTGTTTAAACCTTGAAACAGTTGCAACTAGAAGCTGCAGAAAAGAGGCCCCAAAATAATGGAAGTAGGAAAACTGCCAGTACTACTTCAGAACGGGAGAGGAGTGCACAAAGCAAATCTATCATGCTGTGTTTTAAGCCCCAAATCCATCAGTAAGCAGACTACAATAAAAAAAGTATCACTATCTAATGAAATGCTTTTTCTCTGACTGGCAAGCAATCATACGATAGACCCTTACATGGAGATAGCAGTAACGCACGTTAAGTTGTTTACCATCAGCATGGCATTTTCAATAACCTATTAAATCAACCCTAAGCCCACAAAACAATTACAATTTACTGCAGTACCTTGCTCTCATACAGGCATGTATTTAAACAGTGTGCTGAGATCAAAACCTGATTAAAAAAACTGTTAACACTGGTTGGCTTCCAGAAAAGTGAAATTATGTTTATACTGTTTAGTCGTCAAGAAGAACAAAGCAACACACTGCCACTGCTTAGAAAACAAGGAAATAACACCTTAGCTCCATTATTGCTATGCAGTCCTGTAATTACAAGTCCCTCTGAGAACCTATCCTGATGACACAAGAGAACAGCAAGTGCATGCGTGCATGCAACAGACACACCAATGGGAAACTACGCTACACATTACACTTGACCTTAGCCAAAAGGCTGAGAACCCAGTTCCTGAAAGCAGCCAAATAAAATGGAACGAAAGGTGTGGAACTGTGAAAAGGGGTGCGGAAGCCCATTTCTCGTGTTGCTTGTTTTCTCATGCTGCAACTCTGTCCCTAATCCCCTTCCTCTCACATATTTCTAAATCCATAATTTTAATCACAAATACATACCCTGATGGGTTTTACAGCAAGGAGTGGGACTGAAAAGATAATGAAAGGAAAACAGATGCTGGCAGATGAAAAAAGCTTGTGAAGCAGGCAGAGGCATACAAATAAAGGTCTGCTCTAGAGTCCTGTTCCCTCCAGAGTGCGTGCGGAGTGTGCTGGGTTTGCGCGGTGGGGTTTTTGGTAGTGGGGGAGGGGGCTACAGTGATGGCTCCTGTGAGAAGCTCCTGGAAGCCCCCCTGTCTCCAAGCTGGAACAAAGCTCTGGCCAGGGCCGAGCCAGTTAGCGATGGTGGCTGCACCTCTGTGAGAACGTATTCAAGAAGGGGAAACTGGGAGGAGGAGTCGGGATTTGAGAGGAAGAGTTGCAAGGAGGACGCCTATGTGAACACCGAGGTCAGTGCAAGGAAGGAGAATTTGGGGGAGGTGCACTGGAGCAGAGACCTCCAGTATCCTGTGGTGAGATGGCAGGGCTGCCCCTCCGCCTCCCATGGAGGTCTGTGGGGGAGCAGAAGCTGACCTGAAGCCTGTGGAGGAGCCCACCCCAGAGCAGGCGTCTGCGCTTAGAGGAAGCCGGGACTCTGAGGGGAGAAGCGGCCCCCGCTGTTGTAGTTCGGCACTGGGAGGGCGGCAACATGCGGGGGGACCCACGCCGGGGCAGCACAGGAATGGCTGCGGCCCGTGGGGAGGACTTACTGAGGAGAAGGTTCGTGGAGGACTGTCTGCAGTGAGAGGGGAGCCATGTCGAGCAGGGTAAGAACATGCAGTGTTCACCCCAGCTCCTGAGGAAGAAGGAGTGGCGAGCTGACTGTAACCCCCATCCCCTGCCCCCTGCACTGCTGCAGGAGGAGGTAGAGAGACGGGGACCAGAGCTGAGCCCAGGAAGAAGGGAGGGGTGGGGGGAGGTGTTTTTGGATGTGGTGGGACTTCTCACTGTCCCACTTTGTCTGTTAAGTGTTGTCTTTGCTAGTGTTTAAATTAAAGTGATGTTCTTTTATCTTTTCCTAATGAGTCTGTCTTTTGTCCATGACTGTAATGGGTGAGCCATCCCTCCCTGTCCTTACCTCAATTCCGAAGCCCTTTTACTTAACTTTCTCCTTCTTAGCACTGGGAGGGAAGGGTTGAGTGAATGGCTGTGTGGTGCTCAGTTGCCCTCTGGGCTCAAACCGTGACACCAAGTCTTCTTGCTTGCTGCCTTTTCACAAGTCCAAAGAACAGTCAGAAACCAAGGAAACTGAGTAAGTGCAAAGAGTCAACTCTTACTCTACAAAATGCCTGAAGTAGAATGAAAGTAAGATAGGTGGATCCAAAATGAAGCTTTGCAGTATGGCAGATTTAAAATTTTACTTGCTGTAAAACCTTTCTGGAAGACATTCAAAGTGTAAGAACAAATATGTCAAAGAACAGCAATAATTTTTCCATAAGTGGATTCCTGACCCACACATGAAACATCGAAGAAGTACCTCATGCAATCTTGATGTTTCAGAGTCACCACAAGTCATTCATGATTGATAATGACTCCCTGAATTTTCTCTTTGTGTTCTTCAAAATTATGGAGAGCATTCTGTATTTCCTACAGACTCTTCCGCCCTTCTGACAAGAGAAGAGTAACAGGTCATACTGTGGTGTATCATCCAAAGACCTCGCAGGACATGGGAAAGAAAACTGAATAAAACAGAAAGGCTGTGGACGGGAAGAAAAAAAAGATTTATAAGACTAAATGTTCCTACTTCTTAAATCACAGTAGGTGCATAACACGTGTAGCTGTTGAAAGAGCTAGTTATTCCATGAGAGCTTTTTCTTCTCTTTCTATGCTTCCAGCATAGCTATACATTTTTCCTACATGAGATCCATTTACTTAGGCACGATCTGAGAGCCTTGGCTAGCTTCTCAGCATTAAATCGCTTTCCAACGTGTGTACAGATGCCTTATGGCCCACATTTACTCTCCTATTTGCAGATTTGCTTTTGTCCCACAGACTGCTCAGAAATGCCTTGTACAAATCCAAGGCAGTCAACATAATTCTGGCAGTTAGGGTGGGTACTGCATTTCCAGGTGTGCAACCTTCAGGATTGTTTATTCATTACTTCCTTTCCACTCTTTCTTTTTTCCTTTCCGTGACTTCAAACAGACACCCGCCAGCAGATGCCTCACGCTTTGAGCCTGCCATGTGCATGCCGTCCGGCTGGCAGCTGCTCCTCTGGCATGCACATACACCATATGGGGGAGCACGCTTGCTCCTCCAACACCTCCCGTAAAGCTTCAGCAACTTTCCTCCAAGCGTCTCCACGGGGCTTTAAAGCAACTGCCCACAGCTTTTTTCAGCGCTGTTCTCCCAGACATTGCCTTGCCTGGGTTTACCGGTCTGGAATTTCTACCAGCGTGGTTCCTTTTTATGACTCAAAGCAAACCCAAATCTTTTTTTCCCCTTTCACTCCTGACTGGATTAAAAGGGAACAATAATGATTTTACAGTAGCTAGCCCTGAAACAGCACCAGTTCGGTGCTTACACCAGCCTGCTGCCACCAGCTCCATTGCTGAAGGGCTAATGCTGCTCGCTTTATAAGGGAAACATCTCCTACTGCATAGCAAAACAGGCTGCAGGCCTTTCAAGGCTCCTCTGGTGGTGACAAGACGAGGCACCTCAGGCTACCACCACACGCAGGAAAGCAAGACGACAGCTCAGCTGCACACAATTGCATTAAAGGCACAAAAATGAAATTTATAGGAGGTAGCCCCAAAGTCAGCTGCATCCATCAGCGCCAGCTGAACTCCCTCCTCCTCCTCCAGGAGGGAGGCACTCTGTGCTCGCCAGCCTGAGCACTGCAGGCTTTGCTGCTAATAGGATCATTTCCTTCTAAAACCTTCCCCACTGCAGCAGCCCAGGAACATGCAAAGCTAACTTAGCCTGAAAGGGAATTTTCCACCACCCACAGCCTCTTTCTACCTTGCATAAATCTTCTCAAGCACAGGCCACAAAGAAACAGCACCAGCCTCTTGCAGATAACGTGTAACAAGCAATTAGTCATGCTAAATTTTCAGGGCCCAACTCCTGTGTCAAGCTTCCTTTACACCCTCACATTTAAAATAAGCACACATTGAATTTACACCTCCTTCCAGGTCCCTTCACATTGCCTTAATAATAGGATGTGGGATTAGTGTAAATCACAATAAGGCCATTAAGCAGAAAGGCCATTCACCCTCTCTCTGTCGATTAAGGGATATCAGATACAGGCAGATACACTGACAAGACATCCTTTTTCATCTGAGAACATAAGCTTAAGCAATCCCTATATAATCACTCTTTTCTCATCAAACTTTCTGGAGCACAGATAAGATCAAAGGTGGCTTTCCCAGCCAACAAAGTTATTAACACCTCAGGGGAAAACTAATGTTTACACAAAAGCCAGAGCTCTCTGACAGCTTCCTTGAGCTGAGGGCAGAGACAAGCAGTAGCAGCAGGGGACTGTTACCCTCAGTACAAACAGGGCAGCATCTAAGCACAAACAGGAAAACAACATGCTTATGTGTGAAAAATATGTATTTTCAGGCCACTTTTGAATTGCTAGTTCTTTTAAGGAATAGTTCCCAAAATAAAAAATTGCACATATATTTTAACTACAGAAAACCACCTTCATGGCATGTGATCAGAAAGCACATCAGTGATAATGCACCGTGTGCTGAAGTTAAAAGAAAAAGCGATAGGCATTGCCCTTAAAGTTGGTTCACAAGACAGTGAATTCTGGATCCATTTTCACCACAAGGAGTTAAAAAAACAACCCCAAGATCTCAAAGAAACCCCAATCAGCTGGTCTCTAGAAGTCTCCTTAATTTTATAAGGAACATGAAGATAATAGACCTATGGAATACATTTTAATTCATTATTTTTGTCTTTGTTAGCAGAGATCAGAGCCCATACTCAGAGCACCAGGGAAGGGCGACCATGGGAAACAAGGTGTTTTCTATATGTATCTTCCTTAAAGCTAACGTGCAGCACAGACTCTATGACGTACAAAGAATGTTTCCTCTCCTATTTGAAAGATTACTGCAGCTCATTACCCATAAAAGCTTGACTTTCCTCTGTAAAATGTGGTTAAAATGGGCCAGAGGATTGAAAAGCTGATGAGGAGAGACAACAAAGAGACAGAGATGCACAAAGTAAGGATGTGAGTTTGTTTTCTGAAGCTGTAACGACAATATGAAAAGAAAAGTAATGACCTGGGCCAGCAGTTCCCAAAATATGACATAAATATCACCTGCAGTTTGAAAGCAGTACGCAAATGACATCCAAACTGCCAAATGACATTCATGCATGCCACTGGGACTAAATTTGTAAAAGCCTTGTATAGAGTACAATTAAGCTAAAACAAAACACAAGCATTTAATTCATCACAACTGGCAGGGCAAGAGCCTCCTCCCCAACACAGTATGCCCTGGCCACCCCACCGCACTGCAGCAACACAAGGAGAACCCCACCGTACCTCACCAAGGGCTTTCATGTTATCCAAGTTTCTGCAAGAGTCATGCCAAAATCGCATCATCTTTACTTCAGCCATGTGAGGAATAAAAACACGCTTCTAGAAAGAAAATATAACTCAGGAGGGTACCACTGAAAGCAGAAATTTTGTGTTTGAATTGAAGAAATGGCAACAAGTGTTCCAGTTCCAGCCTGAAAAGAGTGGGAGCATGGAGCTGGGAGAGAAGTAGACACCTCTGCCTCTGTCAGTCCATAGCTCTTGTCCACATTTGCTGTCAGATGCCCAAGAGAACTCAATGCAGAGAAAACTATTAGAAAAAAATATTATTAATATTTACATAGCGCTTTCCACCTGGCAATTTTTAAGCAATCAATACATTAACTAATTTACTAATAAAAATAAAAACATACATTGGCATTTTGTGTGATCAGTAGCTAATGCTTTCAGAGGAAAACAGTTCTACTTTATCTTTATTAGAATTAAACTTTAAGGCCTGAATCCACTATACATTATTCACACTGTTACATTTTAAATCGGCAGAGGTAATCAATCAGCTCATTAGCTCCAAAATGCATTTAATAGTACATTTTGCTAAGTTCCCATATTAAGAAAACCACAGAAAAACCTGGAGCTGTTAACATCTTTTTATCATTGGTTAAGAACTAACAAGTTAGGGCACTGTAATTGTTGCTTTAAAAAAAAAAAAAACAAAAAAACAACTGAAAAATCCCACCTTTCAGCTTTGCCACCTCAGACTACTCTCTTGCTAACGATGCCCAGTTAATGATTCTCCCTTATTTCAGTTAGTCTGTTGAGATCTCTCTGAAACCACTTCCATCTACAATAGGGCTTCCTTTTTGTGGGTGGCAGTACATGTCAGCTTGGCACAGCTTTCCTTTTCCCCAAGTGCAAGATGCTTCCCTGTGTTGATACGGGAAGCTATTAAAAACATACTGTGGCTGGATTTAAGAGCAGATTCCATAGCACTGGCCATCACCAGCTTTTCTAGCCAGCAACATTATGCTGTTCTGAAAATTAATCTTTTGGGACTAAGATTTAAAAAATACACTTCACATGCTCACTGTGACAGAGGAATTCCTGTATTGCAGATACATGGTCTCTTTTCTCTCCCATGGCCTGCAGCACACTGATTTTTATTGCTGGTGAACTCAAACAGGAGACTGCTCTTTACGAGATACAATGCAAGTAGCAGCAAATATGATGGCTGCACCCACTCAGTTATTTGTTCTTTTAATGTATAAAATGAGTACACAAATTTAAAGTGACATTCACACTCCTGGCATATTGCCAACTCGCCCCAATGGTAACACAAATGCTGGGCATTTTTGAGTCTGGACATCATGGCAGTGAATCACTAGAAAAATCCGGGATTTACTCTGTCTCCCTTAGCAGCGGGGTGATGAATTTTCAGAGGGGGGTAAATTTCCTGTTCTTTGAGCAAGGCTGGGTAGAAGAAAAAGGTAGAGCGTTAATCCAAGTAACTCTAGCAGCTCTTTTGTATGACATCTCACTTCTGTGGCTTCTTTATTAATCTTAACTGTTAGAAGACAAAACAAGTTAAACTGTGTGATATTTAGAGAGCTTCTTGTGACTTCTATATATGCTCCCACAAATACAATTAATATTTTATTTTAAATTAATTTTCCTTAAAGTTTCCCTAGCAGTTTCATATTTCTTCTATGCTCCATTTGCATCTGGTGTTCACAGATAACATATATAACCAGGAGTTAAACAGTATTTTGAAAATCAAAAGTAGAATTTTGAGGCTCAGTAGACCAGTAGAAAGTCTAGTAAACACCTGACAAAAATACAAAGATAACTGGACTCTGGAACCAGTCCCTTTATTAACACCCCTAAAGTTTCTGTCTAATTAGGTTCACTTTGTGACAAACAAAAATGGGATTAGGTCAGCATTACTGTTGTTATAGCAGCCTAGATGATTTTACTTTTCAAGCATTTAATCAGTTTTTAGTCCTGTACTGGCCTCTCATTTTCAAAGCCCATAAGAGACTAGATGCCTTTCTCATGAACATGAATCATGAAGTTCACCCACACGCCAGAGTTAACCTACAGTGAACTTGCCATCTTTATAAATACTTCACAACACTTTAAAAATGGCATTCTGTATGGGAGAGGGAGGGGAAGATCACAGCCCGTTCGTCCTCCCTCTGTTTTCCTGGAGGGAAGAGGTGAGAAGTGGAATTCTGTATTTCAGATAACAGCGACTTCATTCCTAACAGATTGCAATGTCACATATTGAAAACTTGGTCAGTAAACAACAACTATAAGCCCCTACTTGTTCATGTGACAAACATTTCACTGAAAAATGGAGCAACATCAAAAAGCTAGAAAACAAATGGTCATTCTCAGCTCTTTCAGTGTTGCAGCTGGTATTCAAGCAGGTTTAGATTAACCCATGAGACACTTCTTCAGAGCTTATCCTAGGTGTCAGTTAAGCAAGAAATCTGGCTCCCGATAACCAAAGAGTTTAAAATCGCCTTCAAAACGCGTGTAGAGGCGTCTTATGTCTCTCTTGCTAATTCCCGAAAAATACCGCTCTACTTTTGTTCTGTTGTACACTGTTATGCCTGGTGGAATAGTGGGGTATGACACCAGATGGTCTATGCCGGCTGCTTTCAAGATATACGGAGCATCATCCTCCAGGGTTTCATGGTGTCCGATCACACTATATGTGATTTCACAGGGGGCGCAGAGTTCCACATACGTTACCCAGTGAATTATGTGATCACCAAACTGAACATCCAACCACCGGTGATTAGGGTCGCCCAGATAGCGGACAAAATCCTCAAACTGCAGCCCTTTGGTCTCTGTGCGATTCTTTCTATATTTACGAATGATGCCAGGCGCAATTTCATGCCGGTACCAAGGTTCAAACCGAGGATTGTGCACAAACTTGTCTTTAAATGCAGAAATAAGTCTTTCAAATGGGTCTCTAACAATAAAAAATTTGAAGTATAAATTCAGTCTAAACAGAGGAAGGAAAAAAATAAGAAATTCAATAATTAAGGAAAGTGTTTAGCAAAGTGTTTAAAGTGTGTTTAGCAAAGACTTACAAAATGTACATAAACTCTGACCACAGACACAGCAATGTGAATTGTACACTACTTGAACAGTCTATCAATATTATAATCAATAGGATTAGAGATACAATTTGTCTTTTTACTAACTTTTTCTATACAGTACAAAGTAGAAATAGTTCATCCTAGTTTTCATATTTTATTTGAGCTGGAAGAGCTTAGCTTATCTCAATTCATATAAAAACGAGACAAAAGATGCTAAAAAGATGCTAAAAACTCTGAGCCAAAGATATTTTTAATGTCATGTGATTAAGCTCAAGAAGTAAAATACACAAAGACATGGAAAAAGTGTCTTGTTGCAGCTAAATGCATAGAGGGCTGCATTTTTCACTGGCAGGTAGATAAACGAATCACTGCTTCGGTAAAAAAAAAATTCTGGTATTTTATTTGATGTTTTGTTATGCTTTCCTTAACGGCTGAGAACATTATTTTAATGAGACCACAGTTTTCAACAGAATTTCAGATTTTATTGTGATACTGCAATATGTAATATTCTGTAGTTAGAGATTATCTGTAGGAGGAATAAATCGAAAGCAAAAGTTTATTTCAGCAAATAGCTGAGAAAGGAGATTTATAGCCCAATTCTCACTGAAATAAGTGGATGGACTCTTTCTACCCTCAACAGGCACTTGGATCAGTCTTCAGGTTCTCCTGACTTACTCCTAATAAGGCAGGGCTAGAGGTCAGCAAACCAGATCGACAGATCTAGTGGTGAACTAGATGAACAGCTAGTTCAGCTGGATGGACAATACTCTAAGGCTAAGAAGCACTAACAGTCTAAACCTATCCAGTTCAAGCCCAATAAGTAAACCTGTCTGCAATGACAATCTTACACATAGGCAGTAAGATTTACTGTATCAGGCATCAGGGTGGACCTTCCAACTAAACCTTCCCTTCTGAAGGTCAAATACATAACAACTACGTATACGCTGAATTTCAGAAATCCTATATCCCAAGAAAGTTGGTTGGCTCACCTAACTATATCACCAGTTACACTGGTGCTTTCCAAAGCCAGTGGGGAGGTAGTCACAGAAACATCTGTGATGGTAAGAGAATAGTGCCATAGGCTGTGGAACAGAAACCCCGTTGTCTTCAATTCTAGATGTAGACTTCACCTGTACTCTTGATTGCCCATAATACCACTGACTCCAAACCCCTGGGAAGCCGCTTCTTACCGTTTTTTAATTTCAGAGTCACTGAAGGAGGACAAGCGTGGAAGGCCATTCTTCTCGTGATCATGTACAATATTTTCTGGGATCTCTTCTATGGAAGAAAATGCCCCTAGACAAATCAAAGAGAGAGAGCAAGTGAATCTTTCAAGGGGAAAAAAGTGAGTACAAGCAAGCACGTGTGCCTTTGGCTGACAGCTTTTTGGTTTATCTTTCTCTTTTCTGTATTTTTAGCATTTACAGTTACTATGTTTGAAACTGTTAAATGATGAGAGATTCTGACTGCAAAGCTGAAAACTGTTAAAATTCTTTAGGATATGTGACATCAAGGTCCAAGACCAAAAGGCCTCAAAACTCCCAGAAAGGCACATTACGCAAATTTAATCAGCAATTATGTCTAAGCCTCTAACTCCTCACCTCAGCGTCCCCATTCTCTTTCCCTCTACCCACACATACAAATGGAATAAGACTTCTGAGGATTAACTCCAAAGAAGGAAGCAGCTTTTTGGCTGACTTTCTACTACTAACAAAAAATAAATGCTGTGGGCTGCTTTTGGAACTGCTTCAACATAAAAGCACTTTGATGTCAGGATCCATGAAGTTCTTTTAACAACTTTGCTGTGCTGAAACAAAAATTCCAAACGTACAATACTACACAGGTTAAAAAGTACTAAAATTAACAATAAAAGAATCTCCAGGTATTCATTCTGCAAGCACATAAGTTGGCAAGAAAAACAATGTTACTAAATTCTGGTGCATTTATTTTAAGATCCTGATCCTGGAAGTTTTTATGACCTTGAGAAATATCTCATGTGGGCCCTTTTGGCTTTAGGAGTAGGCCTTCACACAATAGCATAATTTCAGAGTACCAACCTGGAACAAGAAAAGTGGGATACAAAACAAGCTCTTTAGGTGAAAGCCTCTAAAGCCTTCTCTGTTCCAGAACTGCAGTGAATAATCCATATCACTCAGCTTCTCAGTTTTCCTTTTTTTTTTTTTTTTTTTTTTCCTTTTGTGGTGGGGTATTTTATTAATTTCAGTTTTCTAATTATATATTTTGGTACTCTGGGTGAATTACACATGGACAAGAGATGTCAGATTAGACATGCTCAGAAACTGAAACCTTGCATTCATCCAGTGCAGAGATTCAGTACAAGCAGTAGCAGAGTTAGCTTCCCCACGGTGCCACAGTTGCATTTCTCCATCCTGAACCTCCAAATACCACTTAGGCATTTGGACATAAAGTACTCCTCTCAAGTATCAGCCCTGCCTGCTAAAACTACCTGAAGAGGAGAATATGCTAGGTCAAATGCAGCAGTAGTCTTCATCAGCAGATACTTGTACCCTGGCAGCTCAAGGCAGCAGAGACCAGTGTTTATGGGGAAACAATTTTCTATCGTGATCCAACACACCAGATCTAGGAAGCTCAAGGTGAAAGGTTTCCTGTGGGTAAGACATGAGTTACCCTCTGCTCAGCACAGCCAATACATCCCTGTCTGTCCTGAGCTATCCTTTGCATGTTATCTTTGCTAATTTCTGGTAAGAACAGGTAGTCCTAACGCACTCATACAGTTTCATATTTAGTACATTCTTGGAGTGTGGCTTTCACAGGCATTTAAGACACATGCCCATATCTAGGTGCGTGTGTATCTTTGCTGAATTTTCAGCTCCCATCCACATAGCAAAGTTGAAGCTAATATTAAAGTTTTTAAAGACATACTCCTTGCTACAAAAGCTTTGCTGAGGGACACGGTTCCTTTGCCAATTTGTGACTGTTTCCTCCTGGCTGGGCAAACTAGTTCATACAAGGTGAAGAAAACAAAAACATAAGTGCAGAGCTGGCTGTTTGCAGGGTGCTTCTAAGAAGAAAGCTGGGTTTACAGTGTTCAGGTTTTGTCCACATCTTGGTAAGCTATGTCACCTGCAAAAACACAGAAGGACGTCAACTGACCTGACTATATGTAGCAAATTCACAGCCCTGGTGCACAGACAGGCAAGAGGGTCTTCATGTTAAACAAGGGTGTGTAATGTTAAATACGATCACCGTAAGTTTATGTGAGCAGGTAGTGGTACAGTAGAAAACCTTGAAGAAATTAATTCTTTTTATTGGCATACCAGGCTACTAGAAGAGGACGGTAGGCTACATATAGACAGGCAGTGTTCACCTTGTAGATCTTTCTTCAAACACACTAGCCCGCTTACTCCTTCTTTTACAGTCTTTTGTAACATACGTTTGTTGACAAAACTTGCCTTAAGCACCTGAGAATCTTCTTAACTTCTATGATGGCTCACTGATAGCATGTACACAAGATTTCAGCAGTACAGACCAACAGCAACTGCCAAGGTATGACCAGCTTTCTTCATGGTTAAAAAACCCTACTTAAAGGTCAGTGGCCTCAAGTCAGAAATGTTATATTAATGTTTCTTAGGGAATTGTGATACATTGTAATTTACTTGTTTCAAATTCTATAAATTAGTGACATCCCCTCAAAGACAACAAATCTATCTACCACATGGATATGGGTACTCTTTCATGACTCAAATCACTTCCAAGCCAAGCAATAACAATATGTATTTTCACAGAAAGAACAAGTGTATTTTCTTTAAAAGATGTTTTGAAAGGACTAGAAGCAACTGTGAAGAATGAAAGGCTGAAATAAAGTATCACTGTACAAAAAAGCAGAAAGAATCCATTTTTGTGTTGTCCTACTTGGACCAATTCTGTTCTTTCCTCCTCCTCAAAGAAACCCACACACCCACAGCAGAGTAGATACCATTTAAAACGATCAAGACTTTTTTCCACTGAGTGTTGCCCACTTTTGGCGTCTGACAAAACAGGATCTTGTGCTTGTCACACACAAATATTCGGTCCAAGACGAATTTGGAAACTGCAGTGTGAGAGAGATTTCTCAATGCAGTGTCTCTGCAGACATTCCTGAGAAGCTCAAGTCTTTCCATATGAACCAGGGGTTGGCGGATCAGATTTCCAGAAAAAGCTTTTCCAGTTGGCTTTATGAAATGCAGAGGGGAAAGAAAAAACAAAAGTGCAAGAATTTAGTTTTCAGATCAAATTCTAAAGAATAAAAATCCCCAAACTGTGCATCCTAATGACTCCCAGATTCATGATTAAAACACTGCTATGTATCAACTAAAGGAGTAGCACACAGTTTCCTTCCTGGGCTGCTGCTGTGCATGTTGGTTCAACTCTTAAGTCACTACGTAGTAGTAGACAGTAGTAAGAGGTTTTCCATACAACAGTTTAAGTCTGCTGCAGAGCAGCAGGGTCTTCTCTGGGTGGATAAAACATGCCTTGACCAAACAGTGGAACTCCCACAAAGCTTCAACAGCCAATAAGAAAGCTTCTGAGGGGTTGGGACAGGAATGTCAACAAAAATTAAACTTTAGTCTCTGAGAAGATGGGGCCTAGGGATGCTGACCCATCTGGCTGGGAAAAAAGAATTTAGGATAAAAGTTCTCTGTTGTTTTTTAGCACCTGTAAGCATTCAGTGTTTCCACGTATTCAAGCTGCAACAAAATTAAGTGGACAAAAATTCACAGAGTGAGCATCAGCGCTCACAAATAAGCAAAGTAGGCAGGATTCCTCTCCCCGCAATGGATGAACTGTTTGATATGTCTCGCTCTTCCAAGACTAAGACAGGAACCACAACTACCTCTCCCTCATGATTAGTGGGGAGAGAAGAAAATGGAGTTGTCTGCTTAACAGGTGATGGGAAATTTTAAATTTCTACTGACAAATCTTCACCCTTCCACTAACTGATTTACACAGCTGGCAATTCCCAGTATCAATACAGACTAGGGGATGTACTGATTAAGAGCAGCCCTGCAGAGAAGGACTTGGGGGTACTGGTGAATGAAAAACTGGATATGTGCCAGCAATTTGTACTTGCAGTCCACTCGGAAAGCCAGTTGTATCCTGGGCTGCAGAAAAAGAAGCGTGGCCAGCAGGCTGAGGGGGGTGATTCTCCCCCTCTACTCCGCACTGGTGAGACCCCACCTGGACTGCTGTGTCCAGCTCTGGGGTCCCCAGTACAAGAAAGACATGGACCTGTTGGAGCAGCTCCAAAGGGCCACAAAAATGGTCAGAGGGCTGGAACACCTGTCCTATGCAGAAAGGCTGAGAGAGTCAGGATTGCTCAGCCTCAAGAAGATAAAGCTCCAGAGACACCTTATTGTGGCCTTTTAATACTTACAGGAGGTTCATAAGAAAGACAGAGAGAGATTTTTTTACCAAGGCCTGTAGTGACAGGACAAAGGGTAACGGTTTTAAACTGAAAGAGGGTAGGTTTAGATTAGATATAAGGAGAAAATTTTTTCCGGTGAGGGTGGTGAGACAGTGGAAGAGGTTGCCCAGAGAAGCTGTGGATGCCCCATAATTGGAAGTGCTCGAGGCCAGGTTGGACAGGGATTTGAGCAACCTGATCTAATGAAAGATGTCCCTGCCAAAAGTGTTATTCTGGCTCTGCTGAACATTTGTGTGTTCCCAGTGAAAGGAAGCAGGGGGGTTGAGCTAGGTGATCTTCAAAGGTCTCTTCCAATACAAACTGTTCTGTGATTCAATGTATTTAGGTACAGTGCCCTAGCTACACATGAAAAAGGAATGATTTTATTTTTTGTCCCTATCGTCCATAAGAAAAACAAATCTCATTCTACTTTTTCTGTTTGCTACTCTTCTCCAATATCCCCTGGTCAGAATGTAATCTGAACAGCCTGACAGATTGTTTATCTGTCAAAACAATTCTTTTTGCATGCAACCAGGATTAATATTACTGTTCTGCATTTCATGCTGTTGGGAAGTCAAGAGGGACTAGTTTTAGATCCAGAAACCTTATTATCCTCTTCCATACAATTAAAGGAAGATATTAAAACTCACTACACAGATCTGCCAGCCTTCCACTGAACAAATCGTCTCTCCCAAGTATTTTGGGGACAACTTAAATTTCAGGTTTTTTTACAGGCGAAACAAAGTGTCATGTTTATACAGAAACCTAACTTCCATGCTGCATCACCAAAATATTCTAAACATAAGACAACTCATGTAATCAATGGGAAAAAAATTTGCCTTAGCCCACTGTGCCACTAGTCTCAAATTTAAATTTGCATAAGGGATTTTCAGTTTCCTTGTAAATTAGCAAGTATCGCATTTGTTCTGCTTTATTGTTGAAAGCACAGAACTATGCATCTAAAGGATCAACTGGTATTGAATACTATTGTGTTCATGTTCTACTTTAGAAAAATACCAAGATGTGAAGCACAAAGAGCACAAAACATGAAAAAGAAATGGAGACTGATAAAAAGAATCAGAGAGGTGGTGCAGAAATCTAAAAGAATAGACAACACACAGGCTTGCCCTCAAGAACCACAAACCCGATGGCTATGGCAAGGCAGAATACAAGTAATCCAAAATTGGGCCATTATATTAAAAAAGCGAGCAAAAATTACTGTCCTGACTCGATAAAGGAGTACTATTTTCGCCTATAAATGGAAACACATTAAGTTGAATCATTCAGATGAAACAAGACAGCAGGTTACTGTAACAAACTAGCTTTGTGAAGCTAAAAGGAATTCTGTTGGCTCTATCTAAATAGAACAGTCTGAATAAATAATTCTTGCCTAGCAATTCCTTTTAACAACAGGAAGCCCTTACTTAATATCTCTTACTTTCTCCCACTCTTTAATACATGTAACCCTTATCTCAACAGTATGCACCTGGAATTCTTCAGGCCAATGTTTTTGCTCTGGCACATGTACCTCCTCCACTTTTGTCACAGCTGTCAGTATCAATGGCTCTTGCTTGGCACCGTAGCCTAAAGGAGGAAGAGAGATAAGAGCATTACAGAAGGTGGGGGGAGGACAACTATTTCTGCTTTATAACTAACACAGCTGAATATCACCTTCTGTATTAAGCTTACAAAACATTAGGATTTGTTTCCAAATGGGAAGGTACTAGACAAGACATGAGACAAACTATGAATATTTTAAAAGATTTATTCTGTGGGAAGTTTGGATGCAACTTCAGTTGAGTTTTAGCAAAGAAACATGTCCATTATCTTTTATTTTGATCTTTTTTAAAGCAAACTATGCAAAGAGACATAGAAATATAAATCCAAATATCACAACTGGTATACAATTAAGTATAACTATATGGACTTGACAGTAGGAGATTTTTATTTTTCAGTAAACTTCCCAAAGCATGACCAAATAAAAAACTTAGTCTATCAGGTTTCTCCCTCCCCTCATATTAGTCAATAGGCTTCTTCTGCTGTAAACTCTTAGACACTAAGGACCACCTTTTACCTCTTTGGTGGTCTAAGTAAACACCTCTAACCATCAATAAATACAAGATCCCCTCTTCCTTTATTACTGGACTGATGGTCCTCCTTAGACTACCATGAGAGAACAAACTCAGCTGATATTTTTGTTATCTTTTAATGATTTTAGGGCAGCTAATAGTTTGAGACCAAATTAAAGTATGTAATGGAAGAACTCTTTGCATCTTTTGCAATTGCTATGCCACAGGAAAACTGAGAAATAACATGAGGCTCTAACTGTACTTTACATGGTGTAGAAAGATAAAAAATAATTTGAAGCAACTTTCCCTAACAACAAAGCAAAGGGAACACTATTTCTCCCTAAACATTTATTTCCATACACATTGGACTACTTTTCCCTTCATATAGTTTCTTCTATGAATAGTCTTTCTTAGTCTGCATCCACAGTGGCTTACCGTTTTATGGTTGAGAAAAAATGTGTGTACTGCTTATGTCCTTTTCTTAACGGAGTGCTCTACTCTGCCTATACTGGATTTTAACAAAGAGCACGCATGGAAAAGCAAGTTAAAACTGAAAACAACGTAAGCATCCAAGCAATCGGATATAGTAAATATTGTTGTGCACAGACTTATTCACAGTAACCTTTTGTAAAGTCAAAGTAATCTGATTCGGTGAAAGAGCAGTTAAAGTATCTTTCATTATCACTGGGTGAAAGCATGACTGCAGATGCTACTTGAGATGATGGACAGAAACTTGTTCCTTCTCATAAAGAAGTTCCTATTGCTCATGCACTCAAGACATCAGTAAAAAGCTTAAACAAAAGAACACTGACTCACTGAGAATCTGCTGGTTTTGTTCTATCTGTTAAGTAGACATATCCAAAGAAGGAAAATTTTTGACAAGCCATATTTTACTAATCTAGAAGAGTTCCTCCAAGATTGGCTATCCTGTTCGGACTTCCTCCAAAATTTTGTTGGTATATTCAAATTACTTTCTCTCATTAGTCCCAGTACAAGCACTGGTATCTCCAAGACATACACACACTTAACCACATTCATGCCTTCGCAGGACTGGAGCTTAAGAAATTACATAATTTTCTGCTTGAAGAACTAATCAAAGGGGAAGGAATATTCAGCGTAAATTAAAAAAAAAAAAAAAAGAAAGAAAACGAAAGAAAAATTAGCAAGCCAATAAAAAAGGCAAGTAAATGCAAAGGTGGTACTCTAGTAATTTTTTTAAAAACTACATTTTAATGCTCCTGACAAATTCTGATGGAAAGAACCACTCAAAGAATACTTGAGCTGAGAAACAAGAGTTGCCACAGAATGAAATACCTGAAAACGTAACTACCTAACATAAGACCAGCTTATTTGCAGATGTACTAGAGGTCAGAAACAGACGGGACCAAGAAAAGCTAAGTTAGCCTACAGTTCTCATCTGTAAGACTTGCTGAATAAATCTCCACGCAGAGGCATGCTATTTAAAAAGGTACGCCTAATATATTTATCCACTATCAAGTCACTGAAACAAATGGCACTAGTGATGTCAACAATTCAGAAGTTACACATTTTTTGCCTATCTTAGGAAGATGAAGAAATACAGATCTCTTAGGACTGTAATTCATGCTGTCACCTTCACCCTAAACTCTCTGTAGGATGGCTTTGTAACAGTAGCTCCTCAGCAGACACAAAACTGTAACATGCTGTGTGGTCATCAAATGGCTTGAATTCCTCATCAGCTTAGTACCATCTGGGCCACTTAAGCTAACTAAAAGCCTATAAACAGTTTGTCAGTCAAACAGCAGAGGATAAAACTGAATGCAAGAAGCAGGGCAGAAGTGACTAGTCTGAGTGCACTGAAAATGAAACAAAACTTTCCACAAGTTTTACATAATACTGCAGCCACAGGACAAGCACTCACAAAAGGACAGAAACTAGCATCATGTAAAATGAGCTCTAATTCCTTGTGAATCTCCTTTGTCTTTAAACAAGTAATTGTGCTCTGTTTTCCACATGACTTCCACTCCTAGTAGATCAAGATACTGAAACCGCGTGTATTTGAAACAGTAGACCTTTCAAGACAGTACTGCCAAATATGATCTGCTCTGTCCATAACCACCAAAAAAAAGACATGATGTTAGTTTTGCAGACTTCTACCTGAAGAAAAGCGGAGTCTGAATATCAGCACTGCCACTTCAGAAAATACACTTGTTCTGTTCTCAATCCTACTGAAGAAGCGTTAACATGACAAGAACTACTTTGCACAGAAGGAGCATTTGTATGAAGCACTATTCAGTTTTCTGCTTCACAAACATTAAAGTTGCACTTACCATCTGGGTCTTTAAAAGTCAGTGTGATAAACTTGCTAGCAACCATGAACATGAATATCACCCAAAAGCATGCAGCTAGCAGCAGCCACTGGTGGTGCATGTTGTCAGACTTGAGCCATATAAAGTCGTTGCTTCCTATTTGAAAGAGGAAAGATTGACACATTAATTATTTTTGTTCCAGTTTAGAAAAATACTTTCCATAACCAAAATGACAAAACTAGTATGTATGTCTGTCACAAAACATAGCAGTAGATTTCTCTTCTTACTTTTTGCCCTTTTGGCTGGGTTTTTAACCAATGTTAAGGCTGAGGCAATGTAACTGCCAGCTGCTATCAAAGGGAGGCTTCACTCCTTCTTCACCCCTACACACACATTCCCAGTCCCCTCCTTGTGCTGGCAATAGCACTGTCTGTCTGACTGCTCAGGGAGACAGATCATCAAAATCCCTGATTTTTTAAAAGTGTAGTTTGCTTTTCAACTTAACTTTGCAAGACAGCTCATTACAGGAAAGAAAGGAGAACAGAGAAACCTCCCCTCTCAGTGGTAGCTAGTCAGCAGATCAACAGAGCTCTGACATTAACAGTACTCTTAGTTATCCCAAGTCAGCTCATGATATGTAACACAGACTCCTCCCCTGTCCAGCCTACATGAATTACAGGCTGGAACCTACCAACCCAGAACACTAACCTTAACCTGACAAAATATTTAAAAATATTAATGTCTTCTTTTATCTTGTCACTTTTATTGCCAGCAAAGTATCAACCATAGGTTCTGGAAGATTTTTTTATTTCCATCATGCTAAGCACTATCCACGTAAATAGTAAAAAGGGTTTCCTTGCAGCAGTGCCTGCTACCTGTAGCTGCATCTCTGCAAGTAAGCCTTAAAGACAGGACTTCCCCAGGAGTGTAGGAAGGGTTACCCAAACAAGTGAGACCACAGAGGGCCTGAACTCAGGTGCTGAAAAGTTCAAACGTAAGCAAATGCTTCCTTTTGAGGATATGTACAACACAACTTCAGAACACTTAACCAAAGAGGATCTAACTCAAAAACTCATACAATAAAATCATCTCAACAATCCTGTGAGGTCTGTGCTCGTAGCCAAGGGAAGAACAAAACCCAAAAACACCCACGTAACTAGCAATAGGATCAAACTCAGTCCTGAAGTAGTCACGAGTGACACCTGCCTGGTTTGTGATCACGCTTTCTATATAGCCACTTGAGTGAATTGCCAGGGAGTAAAAGAAATGCCCTCATTCCCAGCTAAGATTTTAAAATCATGCTAGTTAATATTTCTAAGCAAACTTTGTATTAAGTGGCTCGGTCATGTACCAGTATTCCACCTTCTTCATGCCCACAAATCTTAAATAACAGAGGTGAGCCTGGCTCTGAGGTTGTTTCAGTATGTTCACCTGCAACATCAGTACTACTGCTACAGATGCTGATCACTTTTCCAATCAGCTTTTGCGTTCCAGCAATGCAAATGTTTCCAGGAAGGATTCTGACTGTAGCTGACAGAAATGAAACACCTTCAGGGTATGTCGAAAGCCTGTGCAGGCAGAGAAGCAGTTCAAAACAGATTTGGGACCCTAAGGATGGATGTGAAATGGGTGAGAGGAGGAAAAGAACATATTATCTCAAATTAAAAGAACGGAATTCATCATTTTTTTGCTAGGATAGCAGCGTTCAGGCCTATTTTTACTTTCTCGGTGCAGCATTTCTCAGTTTGGCTTCTGAGGGGTCCTTTTTTTTTCTTCTTCTATGATTTCATTTTTAAGTACTTTTCCTAAAAACACTGCATTTAGGTAAAAAGATACATCAACTGTCTTTTGGACAATTACAGGTGCTGTGGCCTCCATGAAGATGGTATTTGTCATCTCCCATTTTCTGCTGCAACTCCCTAGTTGTCAACTGAGCATGCAATGCTGGAGACACGTTATTCTTCAACATCAAAAACAGTTGGCCAGGAAGGGCAAATAGTACAGCGTGAATTCTGGAGCACTGACCTCTTTCCAGCTATGTAGTTCTAAAGTTATCCTCATCCTACCATTGTACTAGTGCAAAACTTGCCCTAAGATTCACACCGAGAACCATCAGGTCTCAAAGGTCCTCGTTTTTCAGTCTGCCCCAACATCCACCATCTCGCATTTAGAGCACTGAAATTTATGACCTTTGCTTTCAGACATTATAATCATTTGGAAATTTTTCCAACTCTCACAAATGAGAGAAATGTAAAATAGAAGTCAGGACACAAAACATAGCAATGACATTTTTACTTTTTGGGTGGCTCTGCTAAAACCATGAGAACCATTCAATGTTCAGAATATAACCGAACCTGTCCTCAAGACAGGAGACTGACAGAAGCTTGCAGAGAACATTCTGCTGGAGGAAAACCTCATTCTAACTGTCATCTTTTCAGAGATATAACGAACGGTCTGGGTCAGACCCTCCTCTCTGACCCAGTATATTTGTTCTACGTGGTAGAAAAGGCCTCCAACATTTGTAGCATCCCTGCTAGTCTGCTTGCTTTTATAATGGTGATAGATGCACACCATTCTGTAAGGATCTATAACCCCCTCCATAATTTAGGTATTGGATTTCTAAGAAGTTGTGTTAAATGGCATGGGAAAAGCAGTTTCCACGTGCTCTGAGCTGAAAAGCAGTTAGCGCACACAGGATCCTGCTGCCAGATCCTGGGCTCTAGGGACAGGAGAACAACATTTCAGCCAAAGACACCTATGAGCAGTACATTACTTACCTCAAGGACTGGACTCAAAGACCAGAAAGGGGACAGAATTGCAGGTCACATCCATAAACAACCACCGCTATAGCCCTTCAATACACTGAAGCTGAGAGGAAAACATCAAGCAGTTTTATCTACTAATTTTTTTAATGAGCACAACAGATCTGTAACCACGCTCATCAATACGAGCCTTGTCAGAGGATTTGTCATAACGTAATTACAATGGCTGGAACTGTTACTCTCTTCTAGCTTCTAAACAAAACTACATCTTATTACCTACCATTACCTAAACAAAACTAGCAGTTCACTACCTAGCTCAAGAAGCAGGACTGTTCAAAATTACATACAGGACTACCTCAATCATTATGCTCACTTAAATACAATGACCAGTAACGCTTTTAAAATAACATCTTTATGTTGTTTCCCTTTCTCTAGCTTCTTCAATGTTTTTATTGTTTTCATGCAGGGTAATCGCCCTTCCTTTTACTTACTGCATTTCTGTTGCCTCTCATGTTACTTATTTTCTAGTAAATACATGTACTAGCTTCTGTTTTTTCTCTTTAATAGTTTCCTTCAGCTTCCAAATGTGTCTTTTACTTCTTGCCTAAAACATTTTTATTTTACAAGTAGAAAAAGCAAGAAAACTGTTGAAGGTTTAGTTCATTATTTTTCATAATGAAATACACAGGGATTTTTCAGGTTACTCCTTCTCCCCCTTACTGCAATTCTACACTTTTTAGGAGCACAAGATCCCTCAAACCTTCAGCTCCATCCATTCCTCTCTCCTTCCCTCCCTGAGCTATTTGTCCCAAAACCAAAGTCACATAACCCTCAGACTTTCCAGATGACAGTTTTGCATGAGAAAAAAAATGGGATCGCAAAAACCGACACAAACACGAACCAAAGATCGGGACACAAAGCGTGGCAGGCTTGACTCATGGCCTGCGAGTAAACTCTTGCCTGGAAAAAAACTGCTTGCACTTTGCAGAAGACTGCTGTCTTCACGTGAATGACGGGACAAAGCGCAGAAGATTTAAACAACATTAAAACTCAGTGCACGGCCTCTGCTCTTCATCTTATGCTACGTGGACAGGGGCTCCTTGGCAGGACAGTCCCTGCACTCACTGTGAAAGCCAGCCACATGCTGGTAGTCTCCAACTACCAACTGCTTGCCCACCAGCACACGACTAACGATACAATCTGAAATGGAACTGGTAACGAAGGCCAAACAAGGACACCTAACCCATTTTCATCAAGGCCTCCTCTGTGTTATATTAAAGTTAAGAGATCGGACAACTCATTACACTTTTAAAAAACGTGTTGGCCTAAAATCCATCACACATTCCTTCGGGAAGCTGTGTCGCGCAACTCAACATTAAGGTGTGTATTAGAACAGGCATTTCGGAAAGCTGGTTCTTTCCTAGGGCTGCATGAGCAGGCCCGTCACCTCTGCTCCCCCAGCTCCGGCCGGAGAGCCGAGCCCCCCCCCGGGCACGCACAGCTCACCTGTCAGCGGGAAAAAAAAAAAAAAAAAAAAAAAAAACAACAAAAAACCAACCTCCGGAGCAGCAGCGGCTGCAACAGCTCCCCGGCCCCCACGCAGGAGCGGGGCCCTCCCTGCCCCGGCGCGGACACGGGGTCCGACCCCACGGGGCACCCCCCGTGCTCGCCGCAGCTGGGAAGGGCGGCGGCGGCTCCTCCTTCCCCAGCACCGGCGCTTCCCGCCGGCCGCCTTCGCTGCCCAAGGCGGGGGATAAAAGCGGATGGGTCCCCCCCGGCAGCCGGGACACGGCCGCGGTCTGACTCGCAGGGGATAAGCCGAGGGGCAGCCCAGCCGCAGCCCACACCCCGGGCTCCCGGCGCGATAAACTTTTCCCGTTCGGGGTGGGGGGGGGGAAGCAGGGCGGGCTTCCCCCTCACCTCCGGCAGGTAGAGACAGCAGGCGCCGGCAGAGCTCGCTGGATTCCTCCTCCGACCGGGCGGAGGAGCCTCTCCCCGGCTCTGCCGGCTGCCAGGGCCTCCCAGCCCAGCCCAGCCCAGCCCAGCCCGCTCCCCCTCCCCAGCTTACCGGCCCTCCAGCGCCGCTCCCCGCCGCTCCCGCCGCGGTCCCGCCTCACTCGGCGGCGCGGCCGGCCGGCTCAGGGGGCCCCGGCTGCTGCTGCATCCCCCCCCCCCACAGCCCCGCCGCCTCCCCGCCCCCGCTCAGCCCCTGCTGCCACCGCCCGGCCCCGCCGCCGCCTCCATTTCCTCTCGCCGCGGGCAGGCCTCGGCCTCGGCCGCGCCCCCAGCCCCGCCGCCGGGAAGGAGAGGAAGGTGAAGGCCGCCGCGGGGACAGCTCGGCTCGGAGGAGGCGCAGCGCCGCGCCCGGCCGCCCGCGGGAGGGAGGGAGGGAGGGAGGGATGGAAGGAGGGAGGGAGGGAGGGAAGGAGGGCGGGCGGGCTGCTCTCCCCTCCCCGCCCGCCTCGCCTCCGCTCTGCTCGTTTTCCGCCGCCGCCCGGCCCCGCCGCAGGCCCCTGGGCCCGCCACCCCGCGCTGGCTTCCAGTTTTGTCAGGGTGGCTAGTGCTTCTCGGCGGGGCCCAGCGCCAGCGCTCAGCTGGACTCACGTGTATATGTGTGTTTGGGTTTGATTTTTTTTTTTTTTTGGTCTTTTTGTTTGTTTGTTTGTTTGTGGTTTTTTGGTGTTTTTTTTGTTTTGTTTTGTTTTTTTTGTTTTGTTTTTTTTTTTTTTTTTAATTTTACTGTTAAAAATATCTTTCAGAGGGCCCTAATGGTCCTGTTTCAAAAAAAAAAAAAAAAAAGACTGAAAATGCGACTTTCATGCACCCACAGGACTCTCAATACCCACAAATCATGTCACAACCCGGTGCTGGTGATGAGTCTGTTTTTAACATCTATTGAAACAACTGGTTGGGGTCGTGTCACAGCGTGTGGCAGTGGGGTTGTGTTACAGTGTGGAGGTGGCGTTTCCCAAACTCAGCAGAAATGAAGCTCAGACAGTGGCACGGGGCCCTCTGGACAGTGCCTGGAGGAAGGCGGTGACACTAGAGCAAAGCCACCCCGTTTTAAAGCTCATTGAATGCCGAGGTGCTGGGAACACGACTTCCAGTATGAAATCGGGTGATGCAATGCGAAGGATGGGCTTCATCACTTGACCCTAAAATATGTGCTCTAGTTACCTGACCCAGCACAAAACCTGTCCTGTAGTATGTTTTCTTGTGTCTGTTCACCAGCATTGATTTGCCCACTGGAAACTGGTAAATTGAATGGTGGGTTCAGGAGAATCTCATCTTTCAGGTGAAGAATCAGAATAAACAGCATCCTATAGACAGTCTTATTGATCAGCCCAAACTAGTCATACAGGCTTGCTTCATCTCTTCTTCCATCTCTGCATCCACTTCCCAAGTATGTTCTGTCCTTGGAAAGACCCACACATACAGGATAACTGAGCTCTGTGATGGGAGAGGTGAAGAGTCCCAAAATCCACACGAAGAAGAAAACATGACTGAGAAATCTAAGTGGGTTTTTAGGCTTTGGGGAATGATTCCTAAATCCCAGGCCAGGTGGTCTGATGTCCATGCTAGGCAGGGTTGGCCCCCTCTGCAGTAGGCTGTTGCAGTTCATGCTACATAGCACTTCACCCTGGTTTTCCTATGAGATCTTGTGTAGAGAACATAAGACAAAATTGCCAATTATGGGATTGTGTGAATAAGTAAATATCTAAATAGCATCCAGTCCATTGAAGCAGATTTGCCATGGAAGACCTCAACCCTAATAAAGTCATGCCCTAAATCCTAATAGAGTCTGTGAGGAGTACAGGGAAGCTTGCTGCGGGATCAGGGCCAACAGTTCAAGAAAGGAAAAATTCTGAAGAGACAAAATTGTACTAGCAGTTTGTATGTTGTGTTTGTGGTATGAAGATAATCCAATGGAAGTAGAGTTTAAAATGCTTTCACAGCTAAAAAAATATATTGTAAGTTTACTAGAGTCCAAATCAAAACTGATACAAGCAAGTTTAAACTAATGCCTCTTCTAGAACAAGGGAGAAGAAACATAGGTTAGAACAGGCAACCTTAACTTAAATACTCACCTCACTACACAGCCTTACATTTTATAGTCGGCATCACTGCATGGAGCCTGAGTCTGAGACTCACTGACATACACGCCTGATTTAACTTGCATGATTTCCAGTCCTGAGTCGCAGGCAGTGGGACTTGGTGTGTTACATTAGATGCCTCATGGAATGACCAAGAGGCAGCACTCTCCCCTGTTAGAGGAGAATTTAGACCCTCTGATCCATTCCTTTCCAGACTGGCATGGTGAGCTATGCCGAAGGCTGACCAAGGAAGCCCAAGGACTCTGTCATCGGTACGGATGCTGTGGCCAACCTATGGAGAACAAGCTAATGCAAACCCATTAACAACCGTGTGTTCAGTGCTACGCCGATGGCTGCAAGCCACCAGTGAATCAGCAGAAACTTAGCTCTCACTAGGAACCAGTGGCCAAAAACCAGAAATCAGGAACCCAAGCTCTCTGCCTGACTCTGTACCAGCACACTGGGACACCGCAACCTTGTGCCTCCCTTCCTCTGCTGGTGAAGTAGCAACGGTGACAGTGAGAGTTACCTCATTGGCAAAGCACAGTGGAAATCCGTGGCTGTTGGCAGTTTGAATATTGCACAGGCTAGACAGTTGCTTCTTCATGCTTCAGAGTGGTGACTACAATTGCGGCCACGCACAGATTTATTAATAAACAGTCTCCAGCTGTGGAACCAATTCCTTCCAGATTATCAGGCTCAGCCCAAGTATTTTAACCTTTCAAGTATGTAGTTACTGACATGTATAATAATTAATCCAGGATAAAAGGCACCAATTTTCCAAACTAAGTACAGTTAATAAGCTTTGTTGTCAGTAATTGGGCCTGAAAGTGTCTGATGAAGTTGAAGAATGTGTTGCATAGGCAACTGTACAGTTGGATTATACAGTTGCTAGATCAGGCCAACAGGATTCTCGCTACCAATAATGCTAAACTGTAGTGGGATTTCGTGCTTTAAATAGGCAGCAAAATCAATGTTTGAGTCTGGGTTCTTTTTAATATGAGATAATTTTTACACTGCCAGAGCCATATAAAGCACAACTGTGCTGGTGAAAAGTCACCCTCTTCTATCTGGGATGTTCTAGAGTGACTGCGGCTTCCTCAGAGATACGTTGCTGAAACCAATGGATGTGATGCACCCATTTTTCTTTAAGGACCTGGGCCTAAACTGGAAAATTTCATCTTAATAACACATTCAATGTTTATGCCATTAAAGGAGTTTTTTATGTCCTAGTAACTTTTGTATATCTTTATTCCAGGTTTGACATTTATCTGGGAAGAGTCTTACTTGCAAAAGATTAACATTTACAGTTTGGCCAGTCAGGAGGACCAGGTGTGGCACTGGCCACCTGAACTACAAGAGCACATTCAAGCATTTTAAGAAATTGTTATCTGTCAGTGGCAAGCTGTCTTGACTGCCCTCAGTATGAGTTAATTCTCAATAGTGTTTAAGCGTACCAAAGTGTTTAAATGAGCACCTATCTTGGACAAGATAAGTATTCATCCATATTGCAGTTCCTAATCACACTGAAGGCACCCTCATTTTCCGTGACCTTCCAAGCTTATCCTATTCATCAGAAGCATAGGCTTGTCCATATTGTTAAGCTTCTGCTATGTTTATTTTTTGCTTTTTTGCTATTATTCCAGACTTTAATCCAATGACAATTACTAGGATTATTCTTGATAGCCCTTTTAGTAATGTTTTGCCTCTATAAGAGTGAACCTTAAGACAGGTCAGCTGTTCAGCACCAAGTACTCAGGAAGAATAGATCTTATTTAAATCAGCGGGAACACGTGCTTTTCCTAGTGCAGTGCCATTAACCCCAATTTGCTTCATGGCTTCATTTCTGAGGCATGACCGATCACCAAGGCGATCTCTTGTGTATGAGTACCTTGCCTTGCAACTGGTCAGACGTGGCACCTCTGTCATGTTATACATTTCTTAGGGTGTGATCTTTATCGCCAGAGTCTGTCTCTTTCTGGAACTAGAATGAACTGGTTTAAAAGCGGATCTGGTTGATACAAGATAGAACATATAGAATACCTTGTGGCCTCTACAGTCGTCAAGAGACACTGCAACAATCAAAAAAATCAGGCCAAGGAATACAGGAATGTACAGCCTCATACAGGTGTAACATAGTCTATATTTCCTGGATTATTTTTTATATAAAATAACTTTAGCAAGGAGTGACCTGTGAAGTGCATGTCTAAAATAGCTGGTGTATAGGAAAGACTGAGGTGTGTGGTGGGATTGGGGGCGGGGCTGAGGGCTGATACCTGCAGCAAAATCAGACTGGCTGTAGTAACGGTGAGATCAGATCCATAAGCAGCAAATGAAACGTGTTTTTGTTTGAAGATTAAGTCCACTTTTTATTTCAGGGTAGAAGCAAGTTTTATCTCATAAGTGCCTTGGAAATTGTTAATTTTTTTTATATCATTACACCATTTGATTGCCTTCTGAGTAGAAGACAAAAAGTTTAGGCTGAGGTAAGTAGGTCATTAGCTGAACCATCTATTTTATCTATTATATTCTTAAGGCACTTAAATTTGAGCTGGTAGTTTGAAAGGGAAAACAGCTTTGTGGGGTTTATTAACAGCAATGAGCTGAGCATATTGCCAGGAATGGGCTAGAGTAACTAAAAACTACATTTAATTATCAAATCAATGTCAATTAAAATTGAACCAAATAATTCAACATTAATTATATAGGTCATAAAATGAGTGCAGCCAACAAGCAAATTATCATGTCAATGTAGCAAGTTAGGTCAAGTCTTTAAACAAAATTCAGAAAGAACAATTGAGTTTTAAGTCCCAGTTATGAGTGTTTTCCAAAGTAGAGAAATTAAGACAATTGACTGAATCAATTAGTATTCAAAATAAGCTACTTTACTTCAAAGTAACCTGCTACCCTCTTTTGACCCTCCCCTTTCCCCATGGCCTAAGACAGCTGGATTTACCAGCTTTCATTTCTCTCTGTGGCTGGCAGAGACAAACGGGCAAGCAGCTGAGTCTTACCTTCACCTGCTGCATCCACCAAGGGACAAATTAGTTCCTGGCTATTTCCAGGTGACAAAGCTGCCGTGACACTGCAGGTACGGCACTCACCCTTGCATCTGTGACTTAGGCTCCAAGGAGGACAAGCTGCGCGTGTCCCCGCCGTGCTGTGCCATGCCTCGCCAGGAGTTGCAAGATTGGCAATGCACAGACACAGAGCACCAGAGCTACTCTGGGCACTGATAAAAAAGCAAGGCAGTTTTTTACATTTTTTTTGTCATGGTTTCTCAAAAGGGGGTATGGGGTGGAGGGAGCTTTGCTACTCTGAGCCAGTACTTTACCTTGCCAGCGTTTGAGATCACACTCTCAAATGTTGAAGAGACAAGTAAGGACAGCGTGCTAAGCAGAAGACAATTCTTGACCAATCTTCTGCTGTAGCAAGGTTTAGGAGAGCTGTTGTCTTCTGCTTGATTATCACCCCATTAGAAATCTGGCCAGTTTTGGGGCAAGCAGAAACACCCAAAGGAGGATTGAGGGGTGACTTGGGTCAGAGGAGTGTGAGAAAAGAAAAAGAGAGGTGGAGGGTGGGACAGAACCTGGGTCCTATTTGCTAATGAATGCATGTAGCATCAGAGTGTTTAAGTGGAACAGCTTTCACAAGGACATTGAGTACTTCAAATAATGTATAACTTGCTGTTTGGGGCTGTCTCTTGGGAGGTAGCAGATGTGGTATCTGTCAGGAGGAATTTGAACATTTGTTTCCTATATCCCAGTAGCCCAGTAATTAACTAGGAACAGCACCATTCTTGTGAAGGCAAGAAAAAAACATTCATGCCAGAAATTCTAGGGGACGTAAGTCTAGAAGAGTTATCCTAAACTGACAGACATCACCCTACAATTTGAACTCAGGAAGGCAAGTCTGTGAGAACTGTGACTTTACTTCACAGTTCTTGGCACATCCTCGCGGTCCGTGGAGCCGGGATCATGCCACAGGGCCCCTGTCCTCCTACGTGGTGCAGCCCTGGTGCCTTACTTCAGTGCCTGCTCCTCCGGGTGCATGGTCCTCAACCAAAAGTAATTCTGGAGCTATTCATTTCTGACTGTTTCCAGTGGAAATTAAGAGGGGGTTTTTTTGTTGTTTTTTACAGATTCTGGAGCCTAGTCCATAGTTTCCTTAATCCTTTATTTAAAAAGAGCAAGAGAAACACAAAGTGGAAATTCCTTGTGTTTTTAGGGGATTATTCTGCTGCTTTCCCAGATACAAGCAGTTAGTGATATTACCATATGCTCTTGAACCCACTGTGTATATTCACACACTAAAATATTGAAAAGCAAAAAAAGGGACAGGGAACTTCCCCAGCCAATGTGTAGACAGAAATAGGGATAGGGGGAAGAGTTAAGAGGGAGAAGTTTAATTGTTTTGAAGAATGTGGCTTTTGGAGTTGCAACACAGAGGTCAACAGAATTCTTTGGCCACTGAAACTTATGTTGAAGTCTCTTGCCCTTGAAAAATAGAAGCAGCAGGGCCACAAGGTCTTACAGCTTTACCTTGATTTTCTGTGGTGAATTTTTATTTCCTTCAGTTTGATGTTACACAAGATATTAGTGCACAGCCAGCCTTGGCTGCAACAATAAAATCTTGTTTTCACTAAGGCAAGAACACATGAGAGGTTGTCTATTTGAAAGTTTCCATTTTAAAAATGAGTGTAAAAATGAGTAAAATCTGTATTTTAACCAGTTATGGCAACCACCACAAAGTAGAACCCTGAAAATATGAGGGGTTGGGTAAATATGGAAAGTTTTATGACACAGCTTTTAGCTTCACTACAAGGAAAAGACTTGAAAGTATAAGATGATTTCAACATTTAATATAAAGCTTTGACATCTCCTCAAGTATAACCGATGGTCATCAACTTACTTCATTTATTCAGCTCACCCTGAGAGCGGTTGATGTTTTGGAACTGTGTGACCACCAACGATTCATCAAACCTTATGTCAGGACCAGCTGTGATAGATCAGCCATGAGAAATTTCATGGCTTATCCCCAGGAGTTTCTTCATCTAAAAAGAGGGAGAATGATTTTTACATCTTCTTGCTATATATTCATCTTAAATAAAAGAGGGTTAATGAGACAAAATCTGTGTTCACAGACAATCTCTCACAAGGATTACACCCAGTTACAAAGCACACAGTTAAATGAAGAAGCCACTGTTGCTATTGCAATTGTTTTTTTCATAAATAACAGTATTGATGGTGCCAGTTTTATACTTCAAAGAAAAAAGTCATTGTTGTTTAATGTATTAGACTATGCTTTATATCCATCACTGTAGTGTTCAAAAAAAGTATCAGGATGTTTTTAGCTGCTGTTGCTCTAAATTGCAAAATCTACAACTGAGCTCAAGATAGCAAAATTAATTTTAAAATGTCAAAGCCAAACAAATACATGATTTTCAAATGTGAACTAACTTTTATAGCAAAAAGTGGATTTTTTTAGTAGTCCAGGATACCGTCTCAGAGCACAGATCCTACTGACATGCGTCTTTTCTCAGTTCCTTTGTAAATATTGTGGATAGCCCAGATCAGCTGTATTAAGCATTCCTCCTCTTGCAATCTAAATTCATGAATTCTTATTGAATACAATCCTTCTTGACTATTCAGAGCCCAACCTTTCCCTTTCTTAGGCTGTCAGTTCATGCTGCAGGGTACTAGGTCCTCTCTTCATCTTCAGGACTTGCTCATAAGAATCTTACAGCATCACAGCTATTTAATTTTTTTTTTTTTTAGCATAAGGGACACCCCAGCCCTGCATTTGGAAGCATCACACCATTTAAGCACGTTTCCCCAGCAACACTCTTTATTTTAAATTGTATCCCCAGAAAAGGAGGAAGCTGCTGACATCCATCTAGACATTCTATCCTTTTATTTTTGACATCATTTAACTAGTAGGCTTTCCCTGATTTGAAAAAAAGCACCAGAGCAGCTAGCATGTGCTTTGTTGCAACATCCTTATTTCCTAATTCACATGTGGCTTCCCTGAGCACTCACTTCATTAAGAAAACGGTGTCACTGAGCGGTGATTCCTTGACCCAGCCAATGCAAGGCGAGCAGATTATTTTGTTCTCCAGGAACAATAACAACAGCAACACGCTGGGCCTTATTCTCTTGGATAACTCATGGTGCTAGATTGTGCTTAGCACTGTGGTCTAAATGTGCTCCTGTTACAGAAGTTATTGGATCATACTA